AGCCCTGGGCACGCGCGCAGCCCCGCGCCCGGCCTCGCCTTGTCTGCCTGCCGCTCGAGCAGCCGGCTCCCGGAGCCCCGGGCCGACACCGGCCGGCGACCTTCGGGTGGTCGTAGAGGGCTTAAACGCCGGCAAGGCGCGCCCCCGCCTCGGGTTCCGGGCCCGGAGGTTCGGGCTTCGGATGTGCATTGGAGCCCGAGGACACTGCGCACGGCCCCTGCCAGGTCTGAATTTCTAAAAAGGAGGGATTCCAAAGCCTGCCACTTCCCGGTCGGGGTCGCGCTGCTGGAAGGTGTGTTAGGGGTGCTGGGGCTCCCCTTGGCTCACGCGAACCCGGGGCTGGGCTGCCCTGGAGGTGGACGCGGCGGGCCGCGCGCCGTGCTGACCCCGCGCGCGTTCTCTTTGTGGCGAGCGGTCAGGGCGGCGGGAGGGTAGACGCGGCTCCCTTTGCGTAGGTTCATCTGGGAGCGGAACCGCCGGAGTCTTAGAAAGTGCTTGCTCTACAGCAGAAGTTGTATTCATTCTCCTAAGAAAAGAAGACGCTTCAAACTTTCTTTGTAACTCATGCGTGTGTTTAGAATGGGACCCGCTTTTTAATTCCGCCCGTAAGTGGCAGTCTGGCGTAGCCGTGGGGCTGTTTGGGGAGCGTTCCTGTGCTGGCACCCTGTCAGCCTGTCCTTCAGGCACAGAGCCCCGCGTGGGGGTCGGAGTGCGGCCAAGGGTCTAGCTGTGCCCCGCTCCCCGCTCTCGGCGAGCCGGGCTGCCTGGGCGCCTAGGACCGATGGAGGGGAGGCAGTAGGTCCAGGGAGCAGAGTGACTGTAAAAAGTTTTCCTGTGCTGGAGGGGTGCCGTTGGCCCTCGGCTGGGAGCTCTGGGAAGGCAGAGGCGCCCAGGGCACAAGCGACTGGTGTTTGTGCCACCCATCCCCGCACCTCCCAGCACCCCCATCTTGCTCCCTGGGGAGTGAACACCGCGTAGCTCTCTCTGGAAGGGCAGGTCAGTCTGTCGCCCTCGCCCTTTGTGACCTTGGGGCCTTGGGCAGCGCCTGAGGGCTGGGTTCAGTGCGGGCCAAAGACCGGGGGCCTGGGTAGGTGAGCTCCGCAGGGGCAGTCACTGTTCTGCGCATCTGACTGCACCTGCATGCGGGGGTGGAAGGAGCCCGTTGTTTTAAAAAGTCCAGCCTGTACCCTGCTGATTTGGTGCCCTCCGGGTCCGTCTTTGCTGCGGGTTTTCTGCAGTGGAGGTGAGGCTTGCGGATGCAGGGATGCAGATGTTTAGATGCTTCCAGAGGTTCAAGCCGACTGGGGAGGCGTTGGGTGGAGGAGAGCTGCGGCCTGACTTGAGCCCTGCTCATCTGCCCTGAGCACCCACTGCACCCCAGCCCATGCCTAGGGCTTCCCGGCGATCAGTGCTTTGTTTTCAGGACGGTGTAGCTGCCACTGGGCCCTCCCTGACCTTTATATTTTAGCTGGGGGAAGGTGGGGGAACAGGAAGTTGTGATGTTGGCCCAACCCTAAAATAAATGCTGCTGGCTGAGGTCTTCCCTGGGCCCTGGATGAAAGGCCTAGCTCTGCCAGCCTTACAGCTCCCCACCAGCCTGGGGGTGGGGTGGGGCCGCTGGCTTCAGTGCCCGACACAGAGCTGGCGGTGTCTTGAAAATGTAGTAAAAAGAAGCTGGGTGTTCAGGCACACACCTGCGATCCTGCACTCCAGGAGGCTGAGGCAGGGGAATTGCAAATTCAAGCCCAGCCTAGGCAATTTAAGGATTTAGGGGGACCCTCAGACCCCTGTCTCAGAGTAAATGCTAAAGGCGTGGAGGGTGTGGCTTAGTGCAGAGGCCTTGGGTTCAGTCCCTTGGGTGGGGAGGACCGAAGTTAGGCGTGCGCTTTGTGTTTGTTGCTGGGATCTAACCCCCAGGGCCTCCAGTGTGCTAGGCCAGCTCGCTACCCAGAGAACTCCCTCTGGAGGAGGCAGCGTGAGTGTGAGTAATGGTTCTATTTTGGAAGACACCCTGATTTAGGAGCAGGAGCCATGAGGGCGGCAGGGACAGGAGACCCCTGGTGGCCAGCCCCTAACAGCTCCCAGGCCTCCCTCTGCTCTCCCTGCTTTGCATTGCTCTCAGCCTGGACTGCACAGGGGCCTCCCGGGGGACCACAGGGGCTGAAAGACACAGAGGCACACGTGACGCAGATCATCAGGTGTGTCACGATTCCAAAGCCACCGTTGCCCCGGATTTCATCTCCCATTTGCCGGGTCCCTGGACGCCTCTGTTCACGTGGCTCCAAAGTGGCCGGGTCTGAGGCGTCCCGGGCAGCTGGGACAGCCGGGGCCGTGGCAGACCCAGTGGGCACCTGCCGGGTGTCCTGGGAAGCTTCCGGGACATCTGAGGGGTGTGGCCCGGAGTAAATGGGGGGTGATCCCCCCACTGGCACATCTTGAGATCTTAGAGCACAGCTCGAGGGCAGCACTGCACCCCTGGCCAGCAGCATCCACTTCCTGCCACCCGAGCATCCTGCCTGGCACCTCGCAAGGCCAGCTGTGATCTGGGCGGCCGCGGGCTGTGGAGTCGCAGAGTCCACACCTCTCATTCTTAGTTCTTCTGCCCACAGAGCCAGCGTGGCCCTGCTGCCGGAAGGAGGAGGGCCGGGCCCGAAGGACACCTTCCCACGCTGCTCCAGGCCCGAACCAGAGCCGGACTCCATAACCCTGTATGCTGCAGCTCACCTTGTGACCACAGCACCCTGTCAGTGGGGACCTCAATGGCCCGACTCCCCGCCGGCATCCGCCTCATCATCTCCTTCTCCCGGGATCAGTGGTGAGTCCCGTGGCCGGTCCTCTGCATGGTGCTGCGCAGGGTGAGGGCCTCCAGGGTGGCTCTTGCACCCCAGTTTCATTATTGGTTTTTTGTTTTGTTTAGTACCGGGAATCAAACTCAGGACCTTATGCTTGCCAGGCAGGCGCTTATGCCACTGAGCTATATCTCCAGCCCCTCCCCAGTTTCATTATAAAACATAGGTGACCCCTCTCTGACCCAGCGTATGGCCAAGGTGTCCTTGGTTGAGGGGCCAGCATCAGCAGATAGTGGTTAGACGTCTTTGTTGTCCTCGATGCTTCTGTAATGTTCATGGTCCCTCCAGAAAAATGACGCCTGACTGCTCGGAGGATTATGAAACAAACGGCTGTGGGCAGGCGGGCTCAGCACAGTGACCTTGAGCCCACCTGAGGGGCCTGGCTGAAGCCATGCTTTCAGAGACAACACGAAGTGGACACAGTTCAGTGCAGACCAGATCACCACTTTCTGTCTGCGAACTCTGGGCGACCCTCCTGCCTCAGCCTCCTGAGTGTTGGGATTACAAGTGTGCGCCACCACACCCTCTCCTTGCCAGCTCTCAAACTCCTCACAGGTGGATCTGGCAGCTCCACAGTCTCAGAGACAGATGGCAGGGCGGAGTCTGGACCTCTCTGGCCTCTAGCCCACCATGCTGATCTCTGCTGGGAAGAAGAAATTTTTCTCCTGCCTTTTTATGTTGAGCACTTGGGGCTTGCAAATTAAGCTGACAGAAGACAGAGGAAGAAAAGAAGACAGGTTGGTCACACGTGGAGGAGAGGTCCCGGGAAATGCGGGGAAAGGAGTGCTCGGAGTGTGGGACTTGCTGTCGTCCTTGGTAGGGGAAGGGCAGGCCTGCTCTTTGGAAAGATGAGAGGGTGGGCGGTGGTGATGGCACAGGTTCCGTCTCCTGCTCCCAAGGCCAGGATTTGTGACTGCCCGGTTCTCTGGAGCTTGTTGGGGACCAAGAACTGTGACCTGACACAGTATGTCCTAGGGGCCCCTTGCCCAGCCTGCCTTGTGGGCGGGTCTTGGAATCCAGAAATCACTTTCTCTGTCCCCAGTGAGGTTAGCACCCAGGTGCGGGATGGATCTTGGCTTGTTTCATTTATGATGTTAAACCTGCCCATTCCACCACTGCCTCTATGCCGTTCCAGGAAAAGCACCCTACCCACCCCCACCCCTACACGGCTAATGTCTCTGCCCCCCATCGGACATTACTAAATTTATCTGTTTATTTCATCTTTCCGCCACACCCCTCATAGAGGCGGTTGGGGATCTTGGCCAGGTCCCCAAGAGGAGCCCTTCCGGGAGGCTCTGCCTTAAGGAAGGTTGTGAATCCACACCACATCATCTGGGCCTTGCGGGGCGTGGTGGCGCACGCCTGTAATCTCAGCACTTGGGAGGCTGAGGCAGGAGAACTGTTGAGAGTTCAAGACCAGCCTGGGCTACAAAGTGAGCTCAAGGCCAGCCTGAACTGCATAGTGAGACCCTGTCTCAAAAAAGACCAAAAAAAAACAAAAAAAAATCTGGGCCTGCTTGTCCACTTCCTGCCAGCCCACGCATGCCCTGTGCCTTCACGGCTCTCGGGCCCTGCTAGCTGCAGAGAACCCAGAGTGTTTGAGAGCAACTGCAGGTCGCTTCCCTCGTGGACTGCTGCACCTGCACATCAGCTCTGCTCGCTGAGCCGCTGTCAGTGTCCAGCTGGGTTAGCTTCTTTGATAACTTTATGTTGGAGTAGTGTCAGGCTCAGAATCACTAGCGCGTGTAGGAATGTTACAGGGAACTCCCTAGGGCTCACATACAACACGGTTTGTTAGCACCGGGCCGCCTGTACATCTCCCCTCCCTGTGGTGCGTGTATATGCGCACATGCGCGAGGGCTGACCAGAAACGCAGTGGAGTTTAAAAGTCGGTTACAGCGAGAGCCGCACTGCCACATGTCCTCTTCCGAGTTGTCCCTCTTACTCCAAAATCGCGTCCCATCATTCTGGCCAGCTTCTGAAGCAGCTCTGGAGTCCTCTTTCCTGAGTGGCTTTATGAGGTGTGACGGAAAACACGCTGCCCAGTGCCACCCGACAGAAAGGCAGCTCATAAAAACACGGTGCTGTGTCGTCATCACCTTCCTTCACCGGATCCGGCACCGTGACTTCCGGCTCCTCCCCACAGTCACAGTGACCGTGAAAGGGAAATGTTGTGAATCCATTCAGGACATTGAGGCAGCCAGGACAGCACAGCTAAAGACTCTCAGGAAAGAGGACTCCAGAGCTGCCACAGGACATGGCCAGGACGGTGGGACAAGTGTGTTCAGAGTGAGGGGAATGTTTGAGGGGGGCTGACGGCAATGTGTCTTTTACTATAATAATTTCCTTAAAAAATATAAACAGTCACTGAGTTTTATGATCACCTTGTAAGAATGCACGCACGCATGCACACATACACACATTTTCTAAACCATGTGGGAATGAGGAACAGACATACCCTTTTCTTTCTAAGTATTTCTCTGTATTTCCTGTGAATTGAGACATTCTTTTGAGCTGGGGCATAGCTCAGTGGTGGAGCACTCTCCTTGTATGTGTCAGGCCTTAGGTTCCATCCTCAGCACCAAAAGAAAAAAAAAAAGGATAGCCGTGGCATAAAAGCACAATCAGGAAATTGAACCTCTGTAAAGTACTGTTATCTAACCCAAAGGCTGTATTTGTCAAATGTCCAATAAGAACTTTGATAACAGCTTTTTCCACATCTGGAATCCCACCCAAGACTGTGTCCTGCATTCACTGTCTTTGTGGGTTTTATCTCTTGTAATCTGGGACCACTCCTTGGCCTTGCCTGTCTTTCATTTTGTTGTCTTGAGACGGGTCTCACGGTGTAGTTCAAGTTGGCCTTGAAATCACTAGGTAGCTCAGGTTGGCTTCGAACTCAAGTTCAGAGCAATCCTTTTCCCCTTCTTCCTCTTCCTCCTCCTTTTTTTTTTTTGGTTTTTTTTTCTGGTACTGGGAATTGAACGCACGACCTTGCGCTTGCCAGGCAGGCGCTGTGCTGCTGAGCTAAATCCCCAGCCCCATCCTTCTTTTTTTTTAAGACATGGTCTCGCTATGTAGCCAGGCTGGCCTCAAACTCACAGCAGTCCTCCTGCCTCAGCCTCCCAGCCTCCCAACTACTTGCATCACAGGTGTGTGCCACCTCACCCAGCTTTTAGGACCTTGATATTTTTGAAGGGATCTAGGCGTTCATTTTGCAAGACATCCCTTGGTTTGGGTATGTCTGGTGTTTCCTCAGGATTAGATTCAGGCTGCACGTTTGTCAGGAATCCCACCCGAGAGAGGCAGCTTTACTGTTGATGGAGAGCAGCGGCAAGTTTGGGCGTCAGAAGGCGCTAGAGTGGATCTGGTGGTGTGGATGGCGCCACAGGCCTGGGTGAACCTGTGGAGGCAGACAGAGAAACAGACGCATATGGATATGGGGTACCGGGGTACAGTCTGCTGAGACACCCTGGAGTGGCCGCCGCAGCCCAGAAGCACATCTCACCCTCGGCTCTGGTGAGTGCGTCCTGTTCCCGCCAGTGGGAGCCAGGGGTCCTTGGAGACACCACCCTTGCCAGTCCTGGCCTGAAAACGCAAGATGAGTCCGGAACATCTTTCAAAGCCAGAAAATGCGCAAGTGCTTAAAAATGGAGGGACTCTTGCTGGCCAAGTCTAGGACAGGGTGAGAGTTTAAAACATCGATACCAGTCATCCTCAGTGATGGGCATGAAACACGAAAAGAATCTAACGTGTCCTCCTGATAAGGACGGGGAGGAGGACTGCCTGGAGGAGGAGGAGGAGGAGGAGGAGGAGGAGAGGTTCTCCTGCAGGAAGCACTGTTGGGGGAAGTCGGCCAGCCCCCGGACGCATGGGGCTTTGGTACCACGTAGTGAGAGACAGCAGGTCTGCGTGACCTCGGATTATGTCCCATGCACCCCTCCTCGGCGCTTCGAGCAGAAAGCACGGTCCCGTGGTGGCAGATGACAGCTTGACCAGGGACTGGCCCTGAGGTCTCCCTATCTGTCCGACTTCACTGTCGCTAATTCGAGGCTGTCTCTGGACTCAGACCATGTCGCTGAGTCACTCCCCACAGATCTGCTGGCCCCCGGTCGCGGCTGTCTGGCCGGAGCGGCCACTGCCGCTTGCCTGGAGACCTGAGCGGTCAAGGACACACCGAGGGGGTCCAGGAGATGCACCTGGCTGGTTCTCACTGGGGATGTGCTGTTCTGCAGGGAACTCGGGGTGAAATGCTGCCGTTGGCTAAACTGCCAGGCGGAGCTCTGCTGGATTAAACAGGAGACAGCTCCCTTTTCCTTGGACCTGCTTCATACTCTTGTGTCTAAATATAACATGACACAAGATGACAGGGCTCTACTGTTTCCTGCAGACCCTGTATCTGAGCAGCAGACACATACTCTGTACAGTGCTGGAGGCTGGAAGTCTAGGCTCTAAGTGTCCACAGGGCCCTGCCCCCTGCCGAGGCTCCAGGAGAGTCCTCCACCCTGCCCCAGCCTCTGGTGGCACCATTCCCTGGAATCCTGGTGTTGGCGGTCACGCCAGCCCCCACCTCTGTCTCAGGGCCTCCTCCTCTCCTTCGCTGGGTCCTCCCCTGGCCTTCTGAGGACACCACCGGTTGGATTCAGGGCCGTGCTAATCCAGGCCTCCCTGTCTGTGTGGACCCTAATCTAGGGTCCCTCACATTAGCCAGCCTTGTCTTTCTGAATTAGAATGCATTCTGGATTTGCGGGCGTACAGGAAGTTTTGGATAAAAGGAAACAAATAGCATCTGAATTTCTTGCTCCATAAACAATAAAGAAAATGATGATAAGATTGCAGAATGGCAGAGGCCTTCAGGAGGGTGGCTTGGGACCTCACTTACTTCACCCACGGGAAAATTCCACGGAGGAAACTGCTTGCTCAGAGGCCGCCCAGTGGAGACGGCGGCTGGGAAAGACCAACCCAGGTGAGCAGCTGCCACACTCAGGCCTTCCTGAAGCCACGAACCAAACCTCTGGCCGCTGGTTCCTTCTGTCCCCAAAACCCTGATGAGAAAGGGGAGGCGCACTGGGAGGAGGGGCAAATTTGGCAATGCAGGAAGTGGAGTCAAAGAATAGCAGCTAAGTGCATCAGAAACAGCTGCCACAGTGTCGCTGGTGCTCACGCTGCCTCTGCGGACAGCTCCGGAGCAGCCGGCCTGCGGCATCCTTTTGGAGGATGCCCCCAGGGCCTCTCTTTCCCTGCAGAAAAAGGAACGCAGGTTCCAGCCCTGTACTGCTCCAGTGGTGGGGCCTCCCCTGGGGACCCCTTAGCCTTCGGGCTCCACCACTGCTGGAGGGCCAAGGCTAGGAGGAAAGCGGGACCCCATGGCACAGGTCTCCTCCCCAGGACCCCCAGACTCAAGAGTGGGGGCCAGATGCTCCCCGTTGATGGCACGCTGAGAGGAGTGGGGCAGAAACAGGGCTGTCAGGGGCCCCGAGAATTCCTCAGCTCTGCCTCAAGTCTGCCAGCTGGCCAGCAGCAGGGCTGGGAGAGGGCAAGCCCGGGAACCGCCCACGTGTGTCTCCCCAAGGAAGAAGGGGAGCAGGGGGTGCTTTGTAAGGGCAGCAAGCACCTGGGAGCTGCGTCCCAGGGGCACAGGGACGAGTCCCACAGAATCACCAGCTCCTCTTTTTCCCCTGCAGCACCCCTAGGATTCTAGGACCTTCTGTGTGTTAGTCATAGAAAGCGTCCCTGGAGCAAGTCACACAAAAAAAGGGAGGTGGCCTGGCATCCCTGCGGGCCTAGGAAATGGCCCCCAGGAGGAACAGGGCCGCCCATGTTTGTTCTGTCCAGGCCAGAAGCAGGGCTGCTTCTCCCCATGGGTGTCGGTGACATAGCCATGAGCCCGCCTTTCCTGCATGCCTCTGCGGATCCAAAGTGCACAGTGTAGCAAATACACATCTAGTAATTTCTGTATGCTAAATAATCATTCTTTCTTGTCTGCTATGTAAACACCTGTTCACTGCTTCTCATCCCAAACTTCTCTTTGGTTATAATTTTTTTTAACAAATATGATATTTATTCTCTGCCCCTGGTTCCTGGCACACACTTTCCAAAACCCCTGGAATCCCCCTAACTCATGCGTCCTTTATATGCTACTGAGATGACAGATATCTGGGGCTCCTGTATCCCCTTACGATAGGGGTGGGTTGCCAGGGGAAGGAACCCACCGTGAGAAGGTTGGACCTTTTAGTCCCACCCTAAACCAAGAGGAATGTGGGAAGGCTTCCGGGGACCGGACCCTCGGAGGTACCTGGAGAGCAGTGGGCATGGCAGCCTCACACCTCATCCTGACCACTTCTTCCATGGCTACTCATCCAGAGCCTTTGTGGTGTCATTGTAGCAAGCGGGTCCCCTCCAGTGAGGAGGTCCCCGGGTTCTGTGACCACTCCTGGGAGAGCCCTGTTTCTTGCCAGTAGGTCAGAATCCCAGGTCACAGCCTGGTGCTTGCTTTTGGCCCCTGAAGTGAGGGGGCCGTCTTGGGGGCTGAGCCCTCAGCCTGGGGGAGTCAGCACTGCCTTTCGAGTTGAGCTGAACTGGGGGACACCCACCGCTGTCCACTGGAGAATTGCCTAGTGCGGGGTACCCGCTCCTCTGCAATGGAAGGCTTGTTTGCCAACTGTGGTATAAGGAAAGTGGGTTTCTCCTCTCAGAATGTTCAGTTTCAGCTTGGACCCCCGAAAGTGTCGGTTTGCTCCTGTCCTGATACTGCACAGATTTACGAGAGGGATTTTGATAGCTGGGTGAGACAGCTGGGGAGCCCGGCAACAGCGTCTTCTCGGCAACCTGGTACCATCCTGTGCCCGTTTGTGTTTTAGGTACAGAGCCTTCATCTTCGCGCTGACGTATTTGCTGTATGCCAGTTTTCACTTATCTCGGAAGCCTATCAGCATAGTTAAGGTGAGAAATCAAAAGCACTCGCTTTTGCATCCTGCCTGGAACCTCTGGGAGAACGGGTTTCCCTGGGATGCTGGAGGGTGGGCAGGGAGGGTGGAAAGGTAAACACAGGAAGAGGTTGTCACATGCACGTTACTTTGCTGCTTCGTGTTTCAGCTTCTCTCGTCCGAAATCATGAGTGCTAGAATCATGAAAGGCGCTATCGTTTCAGAGGTCATGGACTTGTATTAGTTAACAGTTCAGAACTCTCAGGCTTGCTGAAGTACACACAGTGTCTTGCATGAATTTTCTTGCCAAGTATCCCCCTTAAGCTGGTCGCACTGGCCACAGCTTGACCTGAGTCTGTCCAGCTTTGTGTGTGTGTGTGTGTGTGTGTGTGTGTGAGTGTGAGGTGGGGGAGGTGCTCTACAATCCACAGAGGTTCGAGATGGGTGGGCGGGATGCTGCGGAACAGGAGTTTGGCTAGACTTGGACAGGGGAAGGCTGCCGGGGACAGTCCTCTACAGCAGCCTGTCACAGCCAGGAAACCAGCAGAGAGGTCTTCCTAGTGTCCTCTTGCCTGTGGGTGGACATCAGCAGGCTTGGGTGGCTTTTGACTATCATAGAAGGAATGAGGAAGCTGTCCCCTGGCAAGCACGGCCCATTTACAGCTCGATTGCCCCGGGCCTACTTCCCAGCCGTGGGCAGGGACCAGGTGGGACTCTGACCTCTGCTGCCACGCTTCCTCCACACCAGTGGCCGCTGAGCCCGGATAGCTGCCCCGCTAGCTCCCCACAGCCTCTGTCACGCGGAGGCTGTGGCCTCTATAGCAGGTCTCCGTCCTCCTCCCGAGCCTCTCCCAGTGGGTGCTGAAACTTCCTTTACTCCCACCCGCGATTCTCTCTTGATCCCTGGCCGGTGGAAATGTTTGCAGACCTTGAAGAGCACGGTTTTCCAAAGAGAGATCCGGGTAAGAAAAGAGGTGGCAGCCTTAAACTTTTCCACTACAGCGACTCCAATATCAGCACCAATAACCAGCCTGGAAGTGAAACTCACAGATTGCTTCCGTGTAAACCTAGAAGTTGCAGAGGCCATAGTGAGCGCCCTCAGGGGCCTTGCAGGCTTGGAGAGGGACCTAGGGAGGTGGGGCTAGGATTGTGGAGGAGGGGCTGCCTGACTACTTACCTGGTGGAGGTCCTAGTGGGACCGCACAGCCGCCCACCCGATGGGCGGAGGGTCAGTGGGTCAGATGTGGTGTGGAAGGTGGCACTGGCCCTCGGGGCTCTCTGGGGCTGACGTGGCCCTTGATTCCATCTGATGTCTCTGAGGGGCCCTGTTTTGCCAGGAAGAGATGTGAGCGTGGATCCAGGTCCTTCACCGGATGCTTCCAAGGCCCCGCCCCGGCCACAGTGTACAGAAGTGTCCCCACTGAAGCTTGGGGTTTCCTGGTCTTATAGCAGCTCACCTGTCCTTATTTCATAAGTGCCGATAACTGCTGCTTAGGGAGCCACGTCGCTGGGCAGCCTGCTCACGGTCTGCATGGACTGTGGTCCTCCCAGCATCCCCGTGAGCGTGCACAGGAGCAAGCAGGCTCAAGCAGCATTGTTCCCTCCCGCAGGGCCAGGCTCACTCCAGGGGGGCGAATTTTCCCCGATCTTTGCTCTCACCCACTCTGTCCCAGTCTCTTGAACATTTAGTTCTCCAAGCACGGGATTTGCTTTGACACCCAAAATTTTGGACTTGAGCTCCTGGATTTGGATTAGGCTTACGCTGAATCCTGTGGTCTCCTTCACTTTTTAAGGTAGCTAAAAATAGCACACCATCTGTGATAACTTAGACTTTATAATGCCTCGTAATGCTTTCGCAACCCTTAGCTCATGTTACTAATGATATAAATGGAGCTGGAAACGGTAATGACTCAGTTGGTCCAAGGAGCAGTTTGGATAATTATCTACACGTTAGATTTTTCTGGACTACCATCCAATACAAAACACCTCCTGAAAATCAATCACCAGGGCTTGAGGGTTATCAGATGATTCATACTCTGTAATTCACTTAGAGAGTAACGTGGCCTCTCAGATTTAATCACTGCTGATTAATTTTATTTCTGTCTTATTTATAAGAATGACAACATGAACAGGGCCAGAAGGATGATGGTGTGGTATGAGTCACCCCTTTTCTCTTTGTTTGCTGCTCCAACTGGAGCCCAGCCTCCTGACTGAGGCCCGTATCTGCCCTGGCTGGGGGACAGGTGGGGTCAGGTCTTTGGGGAACCCTTTACCCCTGGGCTGGACCAGAGCAAGGGGCCTGGAATCTCGGGGGGCTTTTCTAAACTGCAAGATCCCTGGACCCAGGGAGGATGGTGGGCATTGACTGGTGGGCAAATGAGTAGAAGAAAAGGATTAATCCCTCTGGGCAGTCGCAAGACAGAGGTCTGAAAAGCTAGAAGGACGAGCCATGGCGTGGGAGAGGACGGTCCCAGCTCTCCCTCAGAAACCTCACCAGTGATTCTTTTTAATTGATAAAATGAAGCGTATAGGAATTACTCACCAGGTTCATGTGAGAAAGACAGCATTTTATGAAATGAGAAAGGTGAATACATTCTTAAAGACTATAATCAAAATATTATGATATCGCAAGAAAATAGACAAAATGGTCAGTAGAATGGAACAGGAAATACAAAATGTTTGACAGATCATGGGAATGTGGCTTGCTTATTTATCTGTTTATTTGTATTTACTTGGTACGGGGAGTTGAACGTGGAGCTTTGCATAAGCTAAGGACGTGCTCTACCTCAGAGCTACAGCAATACCTGGATGTTCATGTGTAAGACCGAAAGGTGAATTCCTCACCTCATAAAAATAAATAGATGGATTAAGATTTAAATGTGTTTTGAGACAGGGTCTTACAGAATTGCCCAGGTTGGGTTCAAACTTGCAATCTTCCTGCTTCCGCCTCTCAGAATGTTGGGATTAGATTTGTACACAGTAAAGCAAGACACAAGTCTTAAGCACCTGGCTTGACAAATCTTGGCCTGGGCGTCTGGGCACCCACCACCTTCCCAACTCCCAGAAGGCTTCTGTACCCTCCCCAGGAAACCATGGTTCTCACCTCTGGCACTGTGGATTCGCTCCTCTGCCCCAGAACTGCATGCCGATGGGGCCGTACAGTCCTGTTCCTTCATGCCTGGCTTCCTTACTTAGTATTAAGTTTCCAGCCCGCCCCTCATGTGGCCTGGGCCTGCCACTGCCCTTCCCATTAGCACACAGCACTCCCTTGAGCAGGCGGACCTGGTTGTCGTAGGCAGGTGGTCCAGGGTGACAGGCTCTCCTGCTACAGTCATCCTTTGCTGGCCCCTGGAAAGCTCTCGTTAGTTGTGTGTCCCCAGGAGTGCATGTGGTGGCTGCCAGCCACTCCCCGGCAAGGCCTGACGTCCCCCATCTCGGGGCCACCCCTCGCTGTGCACCTGGGCTGGCCTCCCTGAGGGCTCTCCTGCCCTGTCCCGTGTGCCCTAGGGTGAGCTCCACAAGCACTGCACGGCGGGGGATGAGCCCAGACTCGGCGGCCAGAGTGACAGCATCCGGCTCGCTGCCCCCCACCAGCTCCAGGACAATGAGAGCGACTGTGGCTGGGCCCCGTTCGGTGAGTTGGCAACAGCGCCTTTGGTCCGGGCACCCGCGTGGCACATCAGGTAAGGTCTCCGGGCCTTCCTGACTTCAGCACCGCAGTGCTGGCCCCAGATGTGAACATCTGTCCAGGACAGCACTCTCCTGACAGACCGCGGCTTTGCTGTACCAAGTCCGAGGTGCTGTGGGGTCACCACCTGGATAAGATTCTCTAGTGCTTGGGGAGCCGTGGGAGATCCCCACTTTGTGCGTTTCTCGGACTTGGAAGCTAGGGACCTTGAAGCAGGACACTGGGGTGGAGTGGGGACACAAGCCAGGAAACACTCAGACACGCAACGTAAGTCGCACACCCGCCCCTGGCAGTCTTAGGAGTTGTATCTAATCTGGACGGCCTTGCTCTTTCTTTCCCTTTGCAAGAAGCTCAGGCTTTGTGTTGCGTTTTCCTGCTCCAGAATAAACAGTACTGAGCTTTTCCCGTTGGTTTCCAACCCCGCTAGACAAAGACAACTACCAGCAGCTGCTCGGGGCCCTGGACTACTCCTTCCTGTGCGCCTATGCCGTGGGGATGTACCTGAGGTAGGTCGGCGCCCGCCCTCTGCTTGCCTCGCTCTCTTTAGAGCTGGGCCGAGGCGCACGCAGATGCTGCCCTGTTTGCAGGCTGGGCCTCGCGGGTACATCTGGGCTCCGTGCACCCGGTGCTGGGACACAGGCCCAAACATGAACCCAGCCACCCAGCAGTCAGGACAGCGAAGCAGCGTGTATGGACATGTCCCTGGCTGCCTGTGTGGCCCCTGACAACTCCAAGTCCAGTGCTGGCCTCCCGAGCGCAGCTCCAGGGGCACGGCTGGGTTTGCACCCCGCTCTGCGGCCCACCAGGGCCTTGGGCAGGTGACCGTGAGCAGCTGTTTGGGCCCGTGTTTCGCTTTGAAGTAGGGCACAGTGTGTGACAGTAGAGGGGACAGTGTGTGACAGTACTGTGGTAAGGACAAGAGGAGTCTGTGCCCACAGAAACCTGCCTGGCCGGTTCCGAGCCCTGGTCAGATGGACCTGGCGAGTAGGACGTGTTCTGGGGGGTCAGAGGACCTCTGGCTGGTTAAGCACCGGGTCATCTGTCCAGCCTTACAGGAACAAGGGCTGTAGTCCAGAGGCTTTTGTCAGTGATGAAGCTCTTCAGAGCGCTGAGCTGCTCAGGTACCCGCACTTGTGAGAAGGCAACCTGGGCCCTCCCAGCTCAGGCCCCGAAGTGGCTGGCGCCCAGAGGCACTTTCTGCTGGTGGAGTGGTAGCCCCGTCGCCTTTGGGTGCGCTGGCAGGAACCCAGCTTGCAGCAGCATGGCGTGGCCTTGCCTTGGCAGGGCCGGGTCTACATCAGATTTCAAGCCCTGAGGTAGTGTGTTTCTATGCTAAAGACCACAGTCTTTCCAGACACAGGTTAGCAGTGGGAAAAAAAAGACCCAAGTGGGAATGGTTTTTTCGCAGTTGAAATCTGAATCTCAGCTGGTGCAGCTTGTGCTCTCAGGGACCTTAGGAAGGTCTGGAGACACGCCCGTCACCTCGAGAGAAGGGGGTGCACTGCACCTGGTGGCAGAGACCATGGAGCTGCTAACCGTGCTACGCCACCCGGGAGCATCTCTGTCCCGAGAACTCACTTGGGTGACTGCTGCAGAGGGCTCAGCACTGTCTGGTTCTGTAGCTCACATGAAGTCGTGGATGATGGGTGGGGCTGCATCCCACTAGCCAGGCCAGGTCGATGTGGTGTGGATCTCATTAGTTCCTGCATTAGTCTGGTGTGATGGAATGGTGTCCATTTGTTAGACCTGTACTTTGTTTCTTGTGTTTTGGGATTTGTTTGTTTGTTTGTTTGAGACAGGGTCTCACTGTGTAGTCCAGGCTGGCCTCAAACTCACAGTGATCCTCCTGCCTCAGCCTCCCAAGTGCTGGGATTACAGGTGTGTGCTACTGATACAGGGCATATGATATACAACCGCCAAATAATCCAAGGGAAATACTTTAACTCACAACCCGCCTAGATGTCTGAAACACCAAGTTTATGTCCTCTACTAAAATCAAGGAATGAATTCTAGGAACAACAGAGGTTAAGAGGAGGGAGAATTTATTGAGAGAAAGAAAAGCTAAGAAGAACAGACGGGGACCTGGAAAATGGGTTGCCCACCAACCCTGTTTCTCAAGGGTGTTTATTAACCAAAGCCTTGAGGTGAGGTGGGTTCACAACGGGACAAAACTATACTCAGCTAATAAGATGACAAGTATAGTCACTTAGGTAATGTTGATCCAATGGGGAAGTCACAAGGTGGGTGTGAGGCGGGACAAAACTATGGTGAGCCAATAAGATTACAAGTATAGTCACTTGGATAATAATGATTACATGGGGATCCAATGGGGAAGCAGGTCACATAGCAAGCACACATGGGATAGACAAGCACTTTCCTAGAAAGGGTGGGTAAAGAGGTGTGGTCCCCACCCTCTTTGATGCCTACTTAGAATATCAATCACTGCTGCTCATCCCTAGGGGAAGTCTGTGGGTCTGATATGTAGTCTGGTCCTCCTTTTGGTCCTCTTTTCTTGAAACCTAGCCTGGGTGAATGCATCTCCAGCCACAGCTGTCTTCTGCACTGACCTTTCGAGGGCCCAGCCCTGACTGCCTACAATATTTCCAGATAACTTAGCTGTCTAGAATACCACCACGCCCCCGGACCTGTGCTTTTGAAACATTCAAATGGAGGTCAGATCGGGTTCAGGTACCATGTGGCAGCACTAGAGACTCCCCAAGCCCAGCCCACGGCACGGCTCAGGCACCCGCCTGATCTGCCCAGTGGCCTGTGGTGTGGGTGGGTGAGCTGCATCTCACACTTGTTCCCAGTCTCAGAAGCCAGCAGGTCAGAGCAGAGGTCAGCTCTAGAATGCCCGGGAGTTGTGGCTGGCTTCTGCTCAGCTGAACATTGGCCTGAACGTGCTTTATAATTTTCAGCCGCTTCCTTCCGTGTTCATGTTTAAAGATGACTATGTGCATGGCCCCTGGTAGACCGTTCTGACTTGGCAAACTCACAAGGAAAGCCCTTGCGATGGTTCTCGTGGTAAAAGACAGCAACATTAGCTGGATGTAGTGGCGTGCACCCCCAGTACTCGGGAGGTGGAGGCAGGAGGATTGTCACAAGTTCAAGGCCAACCTGGGCCACACAGTGAGTTCAAGGCCAGCCTGAACTACATAGCAAGACCCCATCTCAACAAACAAGACAAACAAAAAACCCCAAGAATCCAGACCAACAAAAAGAGGACAGCAACACTGAAGCCAGCTCAACCCAGAGTGCTGCCGGCAGCAGGGTGTGACGCGGCCCGTGCTCCCTCCCCAGACTAGCAACGTGACGATGTAGAAGGAAGCAGGACACACGAGTTTCGGTGTCCTCCGGTTTGCCCTCACCTTTTTCTTTACTTACATCCCACTGTGGCCGGTCCGTGACCCTCCCCCGGGACAGTAAGGAGTGTTTCGTGTGGTCGTCAGTGTGGTGTGACAGTGGTCATCATGCATTCAGCATCTGGCCTCTTATGATACGGGGTCCTTGTCACCTCGGCCCCAGGTGACAGGCAGAAACGTGCGTCCATCTCTCGGGAGCCCAGGCAGCTCTGGAGGTGAGCCCCGAAAACGCTGGGCCTAAGGGCCGGCCGAGATTCCAACCCAGGTCTTCCGACCTCGCCTTATGGGACAAGGACTTCTCTGTCACCCAGACAGGCCGAAGTGGCCGGTGGCCGGAGGTGTAGGCAGAGCAGCTGAGTGTCATTTCCCCACGGGGCCAGCCAGCTAGGCATATCCGTGCAGGTGGCTTAGGTGCGGCTCAGGAGCAAGTGACCCGCGCAGGGTCCTAGTGACCCTTTTTGTGACTTTGATCCGTGTTTGACGTTGGCTGGACATTGTTTAGATAAAATCTAGCAGGACCAGTTTTGTTTTCTTTAACCGGCAGCAGTCACACTCAAGTCAGTGCACGCACTTTATTGTGTGACAGTCAGTGACTTTGTCTAGAGCAGGAAGCCCTCGGGGTCTTGCCGGGGCCCTTGGAGTGAGGGGCACTCGCAGGGCACAGCTGTGCCTGGTCCTCCAGGAACTGGCACTCCCCTGAGTTCTGGGAGCTCCGGGGACGGCGTGCGTGCGGCCGGGGGCAGCGCTGGCCGTTGACCTGTGGGGTGTGTTTCTCTCCTCGTGTTTGTCTTTCCCTCCGCTCCCCAGCGGCATCATCGGGGAGCGCGTGCCCACCAGGTACTACCTGACTTGCGGGATGCTTGCCAGCGGAGCCTTTACCGCCCTCTTCGGGCTGGGCTATTTCTACGATATCCACAGTTTGGGGTTCTACGTGGTCACTCAGGTAAGGGACCTGCGGCTGCTCCAGGGTCGGGCGCTGGCGGCCCGTGATGAACGGGGTGGGGCGTCCCCTCGCAGAGCCTGCTGTCTCCTCAGGTGTCGGGGCAGGGCAGGTTCAGGGCAGGGCTGGCTGGCACAGGAAGTCCCTGCCTTCTGCTGCGAAACTCCATCCGTCAGCCAGGAGCTTCCCGCCTGAGGAGCGGCCCCTGAGATCCTGTTTGTCATTCCGAAGCAGCAGGGCAGGGGGGCTTTCAAGCGCCTGGGGAGGGAAGGAGAGATCCTGGAGGTGTGAGGAGAGGAGGCCTAAAGCCAGCAGGAAGCCCTGGCCGGGCGTTTCCCATGCAGTCTCTGGGCTTCTGCCCTCCCAGTGGTCGCGTGGATAAATATTGACCAGCAAGAAAGACGACAAGGAAGGGCTGGTTTTGTGATACTTGACTGCCTATCCAAACAGCCTGGGGTCATCAAATCATCAGAGCAGATTGCTTTCATTTTGCTTCTCAAGATTTTGCCCTGACCAAAAAAAAAAAGATTTTGCCCTGACACTTGAAAAGGCGTGGCTGAGCCAGGTGTGGTGGCGCACGCCTGTAATCCCACCACTTGGGAGGCTGAGGCAGGAGGATCGTTGTAAGTTCAAGGCCAGCCTGGGCTACAAAGTGAGCTCAAGGCTATCCTGAACTGCATTGCGAGACCCAGTCTCCAAAAGACAGAAAAAAAAAAAAAGAAAAGGCATGGCTGTGTAATAGCAGAAGTGATTTGCACTTGTAGGAGGGGGACCTGGGGCTCCTTTCCGGTGCCCCTGGGGCTCCAGCGTGAGCCCTCACTTGGAGGAGCCCAAGTCCGTGCCCCCGCCCTGCTGAGGCCCCGTGCTCTCTGTAAGTTCAGAAAGGCTCTCCTGCCAGGGTCGAGGCCGTTTGCCGCGGAGGGGGAGGAACAACGCTCCTGGTGTGGTTGGGGAAAATGAGCCGTTTCTAAGCCGTATTTTACAGTGCAATTTATAAACCACTCTATAAAAAGAACAAAAGTTTGCTCTCCTCATAAAAATCTTTAAAATCAAAAAGGCTGGAAGCTGGGTGTGGTGGTGCTGCTGGATCTATCTTCAGAAACAGCTGCTGCTGCTGCCCCCCCGGGCTGTCTAGACTGCCCCACCGCTGCCTTCTTTTTGCAGTACTGTGGGTTGTACCCGAGGCCTTTGCACTGAGCTCCATCCCCAGCGCCTTTTGTGTGTTTTATTTTGAGACCGGGCCCCCTAAGTTGCCAAATTGCCTAACCTGGGCTTGAACTTGTGATCCTCCTGCCTCCACCTCCCAGAGTGCTGGGATGACAGGCCTGCACCTCCACACCCCGGGTGCTTGCTGCAGCCCTGGATGAGCCTTCCCTTTTGTCCGCTCGCCCACAGGTCATCAACGGACTGGTGCAGACCACTGGCTGGCCCAGCGTTGTCACCTGCCTCAGCAACTGGTTTGGGAAAGGAAGGTGAGGAGCGGCCTCTTTCGGCTGCATTTACAGTTTAAAAGCCTGAGGAAAACCAGACAGCTCTGTTTCCAGCTTTTCTTCTTTCCCTGGCCTCCAGCTGCAGGTCCTAAAGCCCTGACAGGGCTGCACATCTGCGTGGGTGGAGGGCAGGGGAAGGGGGTGCCCGGGGAACACTTGGGGGTGGACAATGCAGAGTCCAGGGCCCGAGGCCCTCTGAGGCCAAGTCTCCACCTTGGGCTGGGAGCCTTTGAGCCCTGACCCGCTCACCCAGGGTCACCCCGTCCATGACCAGCAGGGTTGGGCATGCCTGTGAGGGACACAGCCTGGGCCCTCGGGTGAAGTCACGCGGAGGATGCCGCACAGCCAGAGAGGCTGCGGCGGGAAGGGGCGCAGAGCCTGATTTAGAAACTGCCTCAGTCGCGGGCGGGGCGCCCACTCCAGCTCTTGTTCACACAGGAGTTCGGCAAGTCGCCATGTAGCTTGTGGAAGCGCCCTTTTTACCTTTTGCGCCTTCCAAGAAGTTCGGGAAAGGCCTCTTTCCCCTTTCTAATTATAAATAAAGAGGCTCCGAGGGAGAAACGGGATGTGTGAGTGTGCTTCCCGGGGCGAGGCCTGGTCGCAGCCCCCCTGCAGCCGCGAACGCGCCCCTCAGCCGGCCGTGTCTGCTCCTGTTGCAGGCGGGGCCTGATCATGGGGGTCTGGAACTCCCACACCTCCGTGGGCAACATCCTGGGCTCCTTGATTGCCGGCTACTGGGTGTCCACGTGCTGGGGCCTGTCCTTCGTCGTCCCCGGCGCCATCGTGGCCGCCATGGGGGTGGTGTGCTTTCTCTTCCTCATCGAACGTAAGTCCGCGTGGCTGCGAGACGCCCCAGGGAGGGCAGCCTGGGCCTTGCCTGCCGGGGGTCCGAGGTCCGAGCCAGTTCCCCGGATGGCCAGTTCTCCTGCTGTGGCCCGATTTCCTGCTGTGTCCTGCTCATTGCACTGACCCGTGTCCAGGTTCTTCCCCCTCGCTCTCCGGCCCCGCCCCGTGCTCTGCATCCCGTCCTGGTGTGTGTCTCAGCCTCACCAGTGCCCTTGCCCAGCCAACGTGGCCGCTCCCACTCACCGCTTCCTCCCGGCCCAGGTGCCCCTGCCGGCGTGTGTGCCCCGATCTGCTGTGTCTCAGACAGTGTCGTCAAAGACGGCGTGACGTAAGGCCGTGGGTCTTCATCAGGCAAAGAGTTGTACCAGAAAATTAAATTCCTCCTTCCATTCCAGAGTCAGTACCGAAATTCTGATGGCACAGATTTTGAAAATAATTTTTCAAGTAGAGATCCGGCCATGAGTTTGCAGGGCCACGTTATAATGGAGGAGCCAGCCTGTTCTGATCCCACGAGCTGTTCTGAGAGCTTACGCTGGGCATTCACTTCCTTCATCTGGCTCGAAGCAAGCTCTCGTCACAGGGAGAACGCCGGGGGCGGGTGCTCAGGGTCAAATCAGTTTCCTCTGCCCGTCCTGGCACACACGGTAGCTTGCCCTTGGCACCCATCATCTGAGAAAGGAATGCATATCCTATCCGGTGTCTCACTTCTTTCTTGTTGCTGAAGCCAACCTTTGGATTTTAAAAATAACCTCCATCTAGCCAAGCCAGGGCTGTGCAGCTCTTGGGCGGCCTCCAGTGCGGGAGAGACAGCAGCAAACGTCCGGGGTGGGCTTGCAGTCACACCTGTGGGTGTGAACAGAGAGAGAGTACCTGCGAGCGGGAGCTGAGGGAGGGTGCCACCCGCCCCGCCCCGTCACTGGGTGGCCGCGGCAACATGGCAGATGAGCCCAAGCAGATGTCTGAGCTTCACAGGACAGGGCCTCGCTCCTTCTCTGTCCTTCCGCACGGACATTGGGTTCTCCATGGAGGAGACATTTTGTCCGTACGCACTTCTATGTCTGATGAATTCTGCAATCCCTTAGGGCTGTTGCCCTGATCCCTGCCCTGACACTGGAGCTCTGTGTCCGGTTACTTTCCGTGCCGTGGCGTCCGGCACCTGGTGGCGGGCGCTGGCCACGCCTCCTCCCACACCAGGGCTAACATTCTGGGGACCAGGTAGGCAGGCTGGGGGGCTGTGCTGTGGAGTCCGCTCACCTGAGACCTCGAAGTCTTTTTTCTTACACCTGTCCTTGTTCAGTAAAAGCAGCAGGTGGCATCTTGTCCTTCCTTGTGTGTATTTAAGGTGCATGGGACACTGTTTAGGGACACAGGGACAGGAAGAGCTCACTGCAGGGAGGTGGATTGACACGGCCACCAGGCCACAGAGCTTCCGGTTTCGTTTCTGTGGGAAGAGCAGGGAAGCCCGCACAGGAGCCCTCTGCGGTGGGCGGCGGGGCCTAGGGCCCGGGTGCTGCGGGGTGTGCGCTCAGCCACTCTGTTTGCTCTTTCAGATCCCAAGGACATCCGCTGCACCTCCACCCTGAGCACGGTAAGCCGCACTCTCTTCCTGGCGCCTCCAGAGCAGGGTCCCGGCCGGGCACCCCACAGCCTGGCCCTGTGTGCGGCTGTGCAGTCTCGGGAGGGCTGGCGGTCACCTGCTCCCCGGCGGCTGGGCAAGAGGCCCACTGCGGCCTGGTTCCCGAGGAGCCAGAGGCAGGGCTGGCCGTGTCTCCCAGGGAGGGAACTGCCTGGCTTCCCCCGGGCCTCGGTGTGATGCAGGAAAGTGCCAGGCGGGCCAGTGTCACTTTCAGTTGGTGGCCATGCTTCTCAGGTGGGCCCCGCGCCAGCCCCCGGGCACCCACTCCCTCCCTGAGGGCAGGCTGCGGCTCCTGCAGTCCCGTCCCCACCCTCCACCTCCCTGGCCCACACCGCCGTCAAGAAGGAGGGCTCTCTCGCCCCACGTCCTGCTCCGGCGGCACCTCCCCGAGGGGCTCCGCTCCTGGTTACAGCCCCTCGTCCTCTGCCGGGGCCCACGGTGGACACCGTTGTTCACCCCCGCCCAAAGCGCGGCCGTGGGCCTCCAGTCACACTGGTCCCGCCTGTGGATGCTTCCGGGGCCGCCTCCTGCAGACGCCAGCCTCGCAGTGCTCATTCGTCCTCACGTGGGAGCACCTGCCCAGCCCACGGCTCGCGCCACCCCACATGCGTTGACGCGGGTGTCCCCAGCCTCGTCCCTGCCCCGCCCCCCTTCGGCCCGCTGCCCGTTGCCCTCCTCTGGAGAGGTCCTCAGTCTCAGACTGCGCCTGACCGCAGTAGACCTGGCTTTCACCTAAGCCCACCAGTCCCCAGTGTTCCACAGCATGGTCAGGGACTGTCCACACTCAGACAGGCAAACCAGGGGTCCTCCGGCTCCAAGCCCACCTCTGCCGGCCCCCGGCATACTGCCCTCTACGGTGTGGGGCGTGTGGAGTGGATCCCACATGTCATCTTGCCGTCAACTCTGTCCACGTCAATGCCGCACCTCTGAGCTCCCGAGACAGTCCTCTCCCCCGGGCCCCCAGATGTGCTCTTCGCTGTCCACCTGCACAGACTTCCCAAAGCAGAAGCTGGAGCTGGGTGTGGTGGCGCACACTTGTCATCCCAGCCCTCGGGAGGCTGAGGCAGGATTGCCGGATCGCCGTGAGTTCAAGGCTAGACTGGACTATGTAGTGAGAAACTGTCTCAAAACACAAAGAAGCTGGGAGCATAGCTTCATGATAGAGCACCCCTGGGTTCAATCCCCAAAACCACACACACAAAAAACCCCACCGAAAGCCACAAGTCATGGCCTTGTCTAAGGACACTCAGCACAAAACACCTCCCAGAGCTGGAGCTGAGCCGAGCAGAGAGAGACAGAGAGAGAGAGAGAACCGGCCTGCCCGTCGCTGGGCACGCTGCATGGGATTTTGAGTCCAGTTCATATGAAAAGGTTTGGGCACTTCATTAAATAACAGCGACAAAAAAATTAGGAAAGAAAATTCTGAAAACAGCTGCATTCTGGAAGATGCTACACGGCATGGGTTTGTAAAAAAAAACTGCAGTTGCTCTTTGCAGGTACTCGTGCTGTCTTCCTGCAGGGCCGTGGGTGTCACACTCTTACAGAAGCTGACATTGGCCATTGTTCTGTGGTCCCACTCAGGACCGCACGGCCGGCGGCACTGGGCTCTCCCTCCTGCCTGGAGCATTGGCGCCCGGGGAGGGCTCCTCCTGGCAGGCAAAGCTTGAGCACAGGCATTGGCCAGGAGGCTGGGCGGGGCCTCGGGGCATGGCTTCCAGCTCTAGGGTGGACAGTAGGCCTGGACACCCTGGTGTCCTGGACCTGGGGCTGTGGCCTCTGCTCCTTTCTCCTCTCTGCATCCTCCAGAGCTGTTCACTGAGATCCTGCCCAGCACAGCTGTCTCCAGGGAGCCGCCCACAGGCCAGCCAGGCAGGGCTCCTCTCCCGCTCCCCGTGCCCCGTCACGCTGGACAGGTCCACCTGCTTCTGCAGACGGCCCAGCAGTCCCTCCTGAGAACAGTAGCCACCCTGTCTAACCTCAGTTTTCCCCATGGGACTGGCGCTTGAACTCAGGGCCTTTACACTGAGCTATGTCCCCAACCCGTCAGGGTCTAACTAAGCTGCCTAGACTGGGCTTGAACTTGCAATCCTCCTGCCTCGGCGTCCCAGTGTGCTGGGATTACAGGTGTGCCCCACCACACCTGGCCCCCGCCCTATGTAACTTGCTGTCACTTCCCCATCTGCTGCCGTCCCTTTGTCTTCTCCCGAGTCTTCAAGCCCATGAGGACGGTGTTTTGGGTGTGGTGATTTGCTCTAAGCCAGCCACATTCCAGGGCGTTCCCATTTGAAAGTTTTTCAGAGGAAAAGTCCTGAGTTTTTCAATATTTTAAAGTTTTTGTTAGAGAAATTTAGAAAAGAAAGGTAAAAATAATAGTGCAAGAGCCCCCCAAATATCCAGAACAATACTGAAAAAGAACAGAGTTGGGGGACTCAAGCCTCCCAATTTCACTGGGGACACATGCCGGGCAGCGGCTGGCACCGCAAGGCCAGGTGGAGCCCAGCCCCGGGCAAGGATGGCCTTGGCAGTGTGGGGCAGTGGGCACCAAATACACCTCACTCAAGAGGCGGGACGGACTAGAGACCTAACCGTGAGCTTTTAGAAGACACAGACGCAGGTCCTCCCAGGCAGCAGAGCTTTTGCAGGTGTGGCCTGGGCACACAGGGTGTGTGTCAGTCTGTGGTATGAGTGTCAGCATGACCTCAGCCGGGCAGGTTTTTGTTTGTTTTTTTTGTTTTTTTGTCTTTTTGAGAGAGGGTCTCTCCATGCAGTTCAGGTTGGCCTTGAGCTCACTTTGTAGCCCAGGTTGGTCTCGAACTTGCAACGATCCTCCTGCCTCAGCCTCCCAAGTGGTGGGATTACAGGCGTGCGCCACCACGCCCATAGCCGGGCAGTTTTAAAAAGAGGTTTACTTTGGTTCCTGGATCTAGAAGTCCGAGGTCAAGGGCCACACCGAACAAGGGCCTTGCTGCAGGCAGGGTCCCAAGGCAGTGCCAGGCACTGCATGTAAGAGGCCAGGGGCATGCATGTACCTGTGTTTCCTGGTCACTGTCCTTCTGATGAAGCAGCCAGGCTGTCTTGGGGCCATGCAGTGATGGCCTTGTCTGATCCTCCAGGCACAGTCTTGAGATTAGGTCTCCACCCTCTTCATAGCTCACAGGAAGCCTCAGGCAGTGCCCAGGCCATCCCCAGGCCATCCCCAGAACAGCAGGACCGGAGAAATGGGTCACCTGGACTTTTTCAGAATTTAAAACTTGTGTTCCAAAGGGCACCATGAAGAAAAATGAAAGAGTACCCAGAATGGGCATCAAGCTAGCCATTCAGGTACATAAAGAGCTCCTGACACTGTCACGAAAACACACCACTTTAAAAATGGTCAGAGGATCCCGGCAGTCTTCTCTCCTGGGAAGATACGAAGTGGTCAGGAAGCAAGTGGTCAGCACCACCAGCCACCGGAGAGGTGGAACCAGAGCCACAGTGAGACCCACTTCCTGCCCAGCAGGATGGGTGGAGGAGGAGGTGGAAGAGCCGGAACTCAGGCCCTGATGACAGTTAGGGGTGGCAGTTCCCCAGAAGGCTAAGCCTAGAGCTACCCTTCGATGCAGCAGGTCCCCGCTAGGACTCTACCTATGGGAGATTGTGCCCACACGTGAGCCAGTACTGATATGTTGCTAGCAGGACTGATAACAGCCCGAACCTGGGAACTATGTAACTGTCCGCCGACATATAGGCAGATCAAATACGGTGTGTCATGCCAGAGTGTCTCTGACATGAGCAGGAGCGGAACCCTGGTAGGCACTGTGTGAACGTGCGTGAACCTGGAAATCCTACAGCTGGGAGAAGCTGGTCACAAAAGGTCACAGTGCACAGCTGCACTCCCGCGACAAATGTGCAGGGACGGAGGCAGATCACGGTACGGGCGGGCACCGGAGGCCAGGGCCTGCTCTGGAAGGTGCCGTGTGGACTTTCTCAGCAGTGCAGTTCTGCGCGTGTTCAGTCTGTCTGCGGCCCTCCTGTGTGTCTGTCCAGCCACCCTCAGGTCTTCGCTGTGTGTAGTGGAACCCAGCAAGGCTGCCGCTTGCCTGTGGTCAGTTTGTCCGGAAGCCTGTTGAAGAACAGGTCCCTGTGTTTATTCTGTGCTGTTTGCTGCTTTCCTCCTTTGAGTCCTCTGTTGAGAAACGCGGGCGTTTGTCCCGGGGCAATTCCCACCTTAAGGGTTTGCTGGCCTCGTCCCTGGGTGTGTCGGGCCTCCGCCTCCCCTTGGCTCTGCTGTGAACAGGGAGCCGCAATCACAGCTGATGTTCCCAGTTCTTGTCCCAGGTGAACCGCAATTGAGAAGTAGGAAATGGAGCATCCGGTGTTTCAAACTCAGCTCCCGATGAGGATGCCCCCGGAAACACGGCCTTCTGCACAAGGCTGCGGGAATTTGTGCTTTCGGCTTCCTCTGATCTCTGTGTTACTTAGGTTTAGGCTTAGGGTATCTGTTTTAAACTAGGACCTGTATTTGGTCCACAATCTCATAATAGGGTTTTGGGAAATTTAATGTGGCTTTTTTGTTGTTGTTGTTATTGTATATTTGTTTTGTTTTTTGCAGTACTAGGGATCAAACCTAAGGCTGTGCGCATAATAACCAAGCGCTCTATCACTGAACTATATCCCCAGCCTTCTTTATCTTATCTTATCTTTATTTATTTATTTTTGAGGATTGATTTTTGAGGCTAAATTGCCCAGGCTACCCTCCAGCTCTGGATCCTCCTGCCTCAGCCTCTGGAGTAGCCAGAATTCTGGGTACCACACCAGCTCAAAATGTGATGCTTTTTATTTCCCTGTTAGTTAGAATTAAGCTCAGTGGCAAACAGTAGGAAGACCCCAGGGCTGTGGCTGAAACAAGGTAGAAGTCTGGAGGTAGCAGCCCTGTGTGATGTGTAGCCGCAGGCCCCGCCTCTCCTTGCTGTGACCCCGGACACGGCTCTGATGCCCGGGATGACACAGCCCAAGCAATTAGAGCAGTGTCTGCAGCCTCGTGGCCCTGGCTGAAGGCAGGGCTCTGCTACCGGAAACACTGGCCTCTCTGCCCTGCGTTCCACCGCTGGGGGCACCCCGCCAGCCGCTTGCCCTCAGCCTGGACAGCTCACCCTGTACGCCAGGCTCTCGTAAGCACAGGACACAATTTTTTTTAAGCTACAGGTTTAAATTTTCAGATAGTGTGATAGTAGTTTTTCTTTAACCTCCAAATCGCTCCCCAGGGGAGATGTCGCTGGATGCCAGCGTGCGGGTCCACCCATGAACCTGAGCACAGCCGCGTAAACTTGCTGCCGCTCGCCCTGTGCCCACCTTCTGGATGTGTCCTGGCCCTTCAGCTCATGGCTCTCGTGTGGCTGCCCAGGCCGGGCTACCCCTCCCCAAAACGATCCAGAACCAGTGCTGGAAGTTTTTTTTTTTTTTTTTTTTTTGGTACCGGGATTCAAACTTGGGACTTGGCACTTGCCAGGCAAGCTCTTATGCTGCTGAGCTATATCCCCAGCTGGAAGGCTAAAGTGCCGTAGGAATTGTTTTAGTAGGGTTCAGACTAGGGAAAATAAGTAACATCCTTTTGAATGTAGAATAATTTCTTATTTTAAAGGAGGGTCATCTCAACTATTTCATAAACAAACAACAATGAAATTTTACCAGTAGAGAATTAAAAAAATTTTTTTTTTGTACCACAGAATCAAACTCAGCACTTTGCGCTTGCCAGGCATGCGCTTGTGCCATTGAGCTGTCTTCCCACCCCTGAATTTTAAAAATTTTTTACACTGTTAATTATCATCTAGGAGGTCTCTGCACCCACAGAACCTTTAGAAATAAATAATGGCTGGGAAATGGGTGCCCAGGAAATGCCCTCATCTCCTCACCTTTCCACACGGTGATGGAGATGGTGCTGGACGGAGCCCACCCACCCCACCCTGCCCACAGGTCTGCCCTGAGCCGGATATGCCGAGCCAGGGGTGCTGCTAGGCCCTGTCCGACGTGTGAAGGGAGACCTGGCCTGCGGTATTTCCAAGGCCCTTCCTATCCTAAACCATCAAAAAAAGGTCAGGGCTGTGAAGGAAGCCTAAGTCGCCCTCATTGGCATTTTTGGTCTTGGTCTTGGGCTGTTCTTCAAGAAGGGACTTACTTTCATTCTGTTACAGAGGGCCTCAAGCCTAGGGACCCAGCTGACTAGCCCGCCGCTTTATGTCAATCATCTGTTGTGCTTTCTCTTAGTAGCTTTCTGGTGATAATGGAATCTACCCTTGGTAAGGCGAGTTGGGCTTGATTGCAGGCTGATCAGTAATGGCTTTAATTGAATTTTCTCCTCACAGCATTTGAAAGCCTACGAGAATGGTACAAACAGATTTAGACTGCAGAAACCAGCGTCGCTCAGAGAAAAGAGCAGGCCCCTGGTAAGTTCCGTGCAACTTCCGTGCGACTTTCGGTGAGAAGGACTTCCTGTCAGAGCTGCAGAGTCCCTCAGGCTAGGAGGTGGACGGCCTTCTGCCTCAGGGACTATCACACACACATGGCCCTTAAAAACATCACATTTCCATGTACGTCTTCAGTCGAATCTGTGTTTGTCCTGGCTGGCTTTGTTCGGATGCTAAGCTAAACATAATTCACATATTTTTTTTTTTTTAAAGAGTAGCAAAATTTATTGGAGAAAAGGACTGGGGAATATGAATAGCTCCTGAAGTACAGGAGGGGTCCTGAATGGGTTACAGCAAGCCCACATTTCAAAGGAAGTTTTATAGCACAAAATCACAAGGTGGGTACAATGTGGGTCAAAATTACGATCAAGCAATAAGATTACAAGTATAGTTGCTTAGGTAGCATTGATCCACTGGTAGCAAGGGTAGATGAGTGGCATCCTTAACCTGGGTCGATAATCCGTAGTCTTGTCTTTAGTTAGGATTAGTGGTCTTTTTCTTTTTTTTTTTTTTTTTTGGTTTTTTTTGTTAGTTTGTTTTTTTCCAGTACCTGGAATCGAACTCACGATCTTGCGCTTGCCAGGCAGGCGCTGTGCCACTGAGCTAAATCCCCAACCCCTGGGTTGGTGGTCTTAGTCTGAGAGGATGGGAGAGGTGGTGGGAGAAGACGGCCCACTCCTGGAGAGATAATGGGAAATCTCAAATGGCGATACCAGTAATCTCAGGCTTCTGTGTATCCTCTAGGGAAGTATGTCAATTTGGCCATTGTGACTTTAATCTTCTCCACATGCACCCCCAGTCACAGTCTTGGTATGTTCCCGTCCTCTGCACTGACTCCCTCGAGGAGCCCTGTCTGACTGCCCACTATATTTCCACCTAACGTAGCTGTCTGTAATATTGCCCCCTCTGCGGTTAGGGGAGAATGGGCGTCATTTCCATCTAGCTGCTTCGACCTGAGAAGGGTCGGTGTAGGGGAGACCGCAGTCAGGGGCCTTCTCCAGAGAGCTAACCTGACGGGCCTTGGCTAGAAGTCACGTTGCAGTTTAGCAGTTACGAACTCCCTTGATAAGGTCGAGCTAGTGGGTTCCAGTAAAGAGTCTGGCACATATGTCATTGGCTCGATCTGCATGATCACTGGGAGTTTGGCAGGCTCTAGGCAGGAATAAACGTTTTCCAAGAAACTACAGCATATATAATCAGAGCGTGCGCACTGAGCCACACGCAGAAACTGCTCTTCAGGGGCTGGAATAGTGATGGTAACCAGTTGGCTGTCAGACCCCCTTCCTGATGGGGGTTATCTGTAAGTCTGATACTTCGTGCTGTAAGTCCCTCTAGTTTTAGCTGTAGGAAGATGGAGAGTTTGGTGGTTTTGAAGGACAGTTTTAGCTAAGGAATTTAAAGACTTTCGTTGAACTTTTATAGATTTCACCGTATTTTTTCTTTAAGGAGCCGTGATAGTGGTCAGGTACTAGTGTAGCTGGAAACTGCCAGAAGGGGTGAGCGATTGGAGCCCCTTTGTGTGTCTAGCTTTTATCACTGTGTGTTACTTTCATCCATCTTTTGGTTATACTTTTCTGCGGGTGTTTAAGATCAAGTTAAAGCGAGACTTGTGTTCATGAAAATTAGCCTCTTGCTGTCTGTCGAGGTCGGTTACCTGTCCCAAGGCATCACTTTTGGAATCACGTACAGAGCCTCTGAGCTCCTCTGTCAGCGGCAGCCAGCAGGTGGGTCCTGGTCTTGCTCACTTCGGGAAACCTTTCCCTCTGTAGCGACCCTTTGGCACACTGCACATGTGTTGATTCCTGCGCCCTGGGGTTCGCGGTCTCCCTGCTCAGGAGGTCCGGTGACTCACTGAAGCTGTAGGCTCCTGTGGAGAAGTTTCATGTCCTAGGTCCTCATCGTACTTCACGTCTTTAATCCAAGCCAAAAGCAGTTCTCTCATTGCACAACTGCTGTCCCTGCTCGGCGGCCCCTAAGCCCATGGGTGGGGGTGTGAGGGGAGACAGAGTGAGCAGAGCTGATGCCCCCCACAGGGCACTGGTGCCAGGCAGGCTGCCCTCAGCAGGTGGCACTGGGGCAGGGCTGTGCAGGGGCAGGGGACTGCAGGTGATGGGCGAAGATGTTGTCAGGCAGGGAGCATGTGGTTGTGTGGGGTGCACGGGGAGGAGTCGCATCACAGGAGCAGGAAACCATGAGAGGAAGAGGGGACCTAAAGGACCGCCCATTTTACAGATGAGGAAACTGAGGCAGAGGTGCACTGTCTGCTACTCCTGGCTTGCCCCCACATCCGTCTGGACAGCTTCTCCAAGCTCCTTGCATCACTCCTGCACACCTTGCTGCACGGATCCTCAGGGGTTCTCAGATCTGGTTTTAATGGTTGGGATTATTAGTGGCTTTCTCTCTCCTCAAACCTCTGAAAGGTCAGTGTATCAACTGAGCTTCTTGCTTTTTTCCCTGTATTACCTGGGAGATTTATCTGTGGCGGCTGAAGTATCAGAAGTGGGCAGATGATGCCTGTGGTCCCTGGGTCTTCGTGAAATTGTAAGCAGTGATGAACTCAAGAAATGCTCTACAGTCTGTGCTCACTCCTGGGTCGGCACTTACAGTCACGTCCAGGTGGCGCAGCGAAGGCCCTGGGTGCTAGGGTGCTGCTGACCTTGAAGCCAGTCCCACAGTGCTGCGCTGCTCCCATGACAGCCCGTTTCCTCTCATGCCCCCAAAGAGCCAGTTCCATATCTAGGAACAGATAGGTCTCACACCATGCTGCCAGCCACAGGGACACGGCTAGGCAGGTCCTGTCTGCAGCTCCCTGGAGCAGAGTCCTCTGGCCGAAGAAGCCTCCCGTCCACCACCCAGGCCCCACAGACCCCAGAGGCCCCAGAGTGCAGGGTGTGCAGAAGCACAGAGCCTCGGCCTGCACCCAGCCCCGTGTCTTCTCTGGCTTCTATGGGCTTTTTGGGCTTTGGAAGGGGAGGCAGCAGTGCTGGATTGGGTGCCTGGGTACCTGGCTGAGATGGGCAGCTGCTTCAGGAACAAAGCTCTGGTCAACAGCTTGCAGCCAGCCCAGCAGATGGTACCCAGGGGTACTTCGCGAATTCAGGAGGGGCTGCAGGTGGCCCCAAAGCCTCAGGTCACATCTGCGCTTTGTTTGGTCTCTATCATGTGCTGGTTAGCTACTTCACAAAGAGGACCGCGATGTCCTCAGCTCCAGCCTGGGCCCGGGATGCCCCAGGGGCTGCTGCACTGGGGTTCAGCCAGCCTGGGCGTCGAGCGCCCCATGTGTGGCCCCAGGAGAACTTGATTCAGTGAAAGTACATTCTCGAGCTCCAGCTCTAGCTCTTTGTCTTCCTCCGCCTTTATGGACAGGGCTTTCGGAGGATGTTCTGCTGTCACACCTGGGGTTTGTCATTTTACCCCCAGTAGCCCAGAGGGTCTACCGTGAAGGTGCGGTCACAGAGCAGCTCTGAGGCCACAGTCCGCCCGGTCGGGGAGCCAGGCCCCCGCGTCACACACCGATGCCAAGTGCACGAGGGACAAACAGCATTGCCGCAGCTGGCCCCATTTCCTTCGTGCTGTTCTCCATCGGATGAGAATTTGGAATGGCAAGGGTAGGATGTAGAATGTGGTGCTGTTATTTCTTTTTCCTTTTAAATATTTTTTTACTGTACTTTTAACCCAACTTACATGGGTCGTAGTAAGAGAAATGCAATGCAACCTGTTGGACTTTGCGGAAAGCCTGAAATTCAGGGAAGCTTTCTTGGAAGAGCATTTTGAGATCATCCTTGCTCTGACTTGGAAGCCACCCCTGGCCGGGGTCACTCTGCTTCAGGAAATGCAGGCTGGTCCCTTAGGAATGTCCAGAATATCAGAGGTCACAAAGTGTCAGAACTGACCTATGAATTTTAAAATAACGTTGCTTCTGGTAAAGTATGTCCATAAGCAACTCCTTGGGAAGTGCACGTCCGGTAAAGAATTCCTCATTGATATTTCCACAAACATTGCCCGTACTTCCACCGGAGTAACAGCTACTGGTTTAGATTTTACGTTCCTTCAAGAAGATCCTACGGTGATACGCTTACGTAGATGGCTGCTTAAGCATTTTTTGAGATCAAAATGAAAATCCAGCTTTGAACAATGTGTTATTTAGTACTGCAAGCATTTGCTTTTGTTACTAAAATCTTGCAAATATTTTTTAACAGTTGCCAAATATATCGTCTTAGTTTTCTTAAAGCTCTGGCACAACGCCTGACGCCCGAAATTTAAAGGAGGAGGGGGTTTTTTTGTTTATTCCTTTGTTTTTGTTGGAGGAGGGCTTTATTTTAACTCACTATTTTAGTCCAGTCAGGTAGCTCCAAGGTAGGAAGGGGCTGGTGGAGGAGAGCTGCTCATGACCTGGAGGACAGGAAGCAGTGAGAAAAGGGAGGAGCCGGGGAGGAAGATGGACGCTTCTGGGCCACGCCCACAGCGATGCTTCTTCCAACCAGACCCCGCCTCCTGACAGCAAGTCAGCTAGAAGCCCCGATCCCATCCCCTTCTCAAAGTCCCACCCAGGAGCACACGAGGCTCTGAGAGGCATCCAAGTAGAAACCATAGCACTCGTTTGCACGGTTGTACATTAACTGACCAATTTCTGTCCATTGTGATGTGACATCCCCTTCATGGTATATTTTTCACTTTCCATGTTACTTTTCACAAACAGATGGCAAGCATTTCTAGATTAGAAGGTGCTGTGTGTTAATAATGTTCCGTAAAAGTGTGTGGCTGCTGATGGCTGTACAACAGCGGCTAACTGTGGTGTCACCCGACACATCCTCAAGACTTGGAGTGGAAAGCAGAGTCACCAGGCGACAGCGCCGTTGGATTCTGGCTGCAGCTGTGCCAGATCTACCCACTGGTGACACCTGCTTCTCCCTCTTTTCACTGGAACTCGCGTCCAGGACCCAGAGATGCAGTGCTTGCTGCTGTCCGACGGGAAGACCCCCATCCACCCGAGCCACATCGTCGTCCTCCCAGGGGACAGCGGCAGCGGCATGGCCATCAGCTTCACAGGGGCCTTGAGGATCCCGGTGAGTCGCATGCCCGGGCAGAGACATGTCGTGGAGAAGCGTGGTCCTGGGTGTGACACGGAATCCGAGTTCTGTGGGCGCAGAACTTACGTGTCAGACACACGGATCGTGAGCCAGGCCGTGCGACCGTGAGCTCCAGGGACCCATGTAGCTAAGAGACGTTTCCTCTATGTAGCACACTTGTAGTTTTCTTGAGATTAGTTTTCTCCATTTAGAAATTTTAAATGTTCATAGACAAGCAAGGCTTTCCTTGAAAGTCCAAGCATCTGGCTGCTCTGGGCCAGTGTCCCCCCGGGCCTGTCCCTCCCGTCTCCGCAGCCCTTCCCCAGCCCTGTCTCTGCCCGTGACGTGCTGTCAGTAGCACAAACCACGGTCCACTGCCCTGCACACCATGGAGAGAAGAGCAGCGCAGGGCCCTCGGTCTCTGGATTTGGCCTTAGAAAATTCTGTGGCTGGCCCAAGGGGGCATCTTGCAATCAGCGCAGAAGGAGAGTCGAGGACAAGCGGCTCTCGGAGGGAGGCGCAGCGAGGAGGTCTCTCGTGGCCTCGGTTGTTCTTGTATTACATTCACGGGCCCACTCGTCTGTGTGTGAGGAGCCGTGTGCAGGATGCGTAGGCGCTGCGTCCCTCCTTGTGCAGAGGGCAGCAGGTGCAGAGAACCAAAAGCAGAAGCAGCTGGGGCGATAGTGGGCTCTGCTGCGGAGCCAGGGCACCAGAGGCGAATACCGGTCTGTATGCAGCGCTTCCCATCCACGAGGAGCGGGAAATGAAAACGGTGCAACCCAGGACCGCAGAATACCTCACAGAAGTTAAAGGGCAAGGACTGCCGCTTCAGGACAAGCGGGAAAACTGGGTCTGCGACAGCGAAGCTGAGCCAGGCTCTATCCCGCAGTGACCACCAGGTCCAGGCCTGGCCACCAGGCCCTGCACAGGCCTCTGAGGGCCGGCCTGTGAAAGATGCTGGCTGTAGTTTGTTTCTGGTACCGGGAATCAAACTCACAACCTTACGCTTTCCAGGCAGGCACTGTGCCGCTGAACTATATCCCCAGCCCTGTAGTTCGTTTCATTTTGGTTTCTTGTTTTGTGTTTCTGGGAGAGGGTCTCACTGTGGGAGTGAGCTCAGGCTGGCTTTCTGCAAGGGCTAGGATTAACAGGCATGCATCAAGAAGCGGGGTTGAAATATAAGTTCTTTTAAAAACTGTGCTCTTCGTAACAGCGGGCAGCTGTCCTGCCCTCCCTGACCGTGCGGCTGCCCCTAATACTTCGGTCTAAGTAGGCTGCGCTCCGTCCTAGTGTGGGGTGAGGGCCGGGAGCTGGGCTGCACACCAGCTTACCTGCTTGGCTCCAGAAGCATCAGGTTCCCGTCTCGAGAGGGGCTGGGTGGGGAGTCTGGGTGGCTCTCCAGGGAGGCCACAGCCCGCCGGGTCCTCTCAGAAGGCACCGGTAGGTGGATCTGCCCCAGAGCCCAAACCTGCCGGTGGGAGTAGAGTGGCTGCCACTGCTCACTACACCCCATGCCGAGTCCCCCAGGTCACCGGCTCATCTCCCTGCAGGGCGTGATCGAGTTCTCCCTGTGCCTGCTCTTCGCCAAGCTGGTCAGCTACACCTTCCTCTTCTGGCTTCCGCTGTACATCACCAGCGTCGGTGAGTGTGTCGCCAGCGTGCTGTGGGCCCCGGTGACCTGGTGACCTCAGCCCAGAGCAGCGGGATCCCTCACGGGGGCCTCCAGGCTGCAGCTCCCATCCCCATGGGCGCTGCTGTTCGGCAGCCTGCGTGTCAGTCCAGGTCACTGCTGCCCCGGGGAGGGAGGCTTCAAACCCCTCGGAACCCGACCTGGAAAGCGCCTCCAGGGGACACGTTCTGACGAGAGGGAGGGCTGACTGTGAGTCCAGCCGAGGCAAGGCCGTGGGTCACTACAGAACAAACCTGTGGAACAGACAGTGCGTCCCTGTGGGGACCCCAGGGCGGTGGGAGGGGGGGCAGCTCCCAGGCAGGGGTCACTGCTGGAGCAGTAGGATCCATGCTGACGGTGGGGAAGGTTGCTGCAGCCCGGCCCCCCGGAGAGCAGGAAGTAGGACCCGGGAGGCTCGGCTCAGGCAGGTGGCAGGGCCAGAGCTGGCGAGCCGGGAGGGCCTGAGAACAGAGCAGCATTTCGCCAGGGGACGGGGGCACAGCCCGCGCCTGTCACGTCCCAAGCCCTCCTCCGCCGAGCTGGAGTCAGGAGTGCAGTCAGCCCGCTGCGCCTCCCTCGTCCTCGCAAGCTGAGCCAACTGGCAGTTGCTCCCTGGTGTGAATGATGCCATGGGGTGGGTGCCCGCCATCCCCGCTGCCCTGCCCCTGAAGCGCACACCCTCACTTGTCACCTCTGCTCCTTCCACAGATCACCTCGATGCCCAGAGGGCGGGCGAGCTCTCCACACTGTTCGACGTGGGCGGGCTCTTCGGTGAGCGCCACACCTCCCGCTGCGCTCTGTGCAGACAAGCGTGGCGCTGCATGCGGCCGCGGCCCTGAGTGGCCTTAGCCATCCCTCAGCCTGGGGGTCCCCTCTTCCAGCCTGGCCTCTGGCCCTGAACTGGCATCCTCTCCCCTCGGGCGGGTGACAGAGTGGCGGCACTTGGACCCGTGCGGGTAGCGGGTTTCAGGCCTGACCCCGAGATCGCCCTGTGGTTCACTGGGAGACACCCACACGGGGCCACGACCAGAAGCGCCTCCCAGAGGGACCGCCGCCACTGCTGTCCTCGCCCGCCTTCCTGGGCTCTGGATGAGCTGGTGCCCACCTGAAGCCGCCCTCTCTGCTGCAGGCGGGATCCTGGCGGGTGTCATCTCCGACCGGCTGGAGAAGCGGGCCTCCACCTGCGGCCTGATGCTGCTGCTTGCTGCACCCACGGTGAGCCTCTTGCCGGCCAGCGCTGCCCCCGAGCTGTCCCCTCCACTGTGTGCGGCAGGGGCTGCCCCCCACCGGGCTTCCCACGTGCGCTCCTCCCCAGAGCCCTGCCCTGCCCACCTCCCAGCCCCTGCGAGGCACACGCCACTCATGGGCCTTTAGGAGCTCAGGACATTGGGTAGGCAGTGTCCCCTTGGTGGGCCTCAGCTTCCTCTTCTGAACGGCTGGATTGACAGTGGCACCGCTGCAGGATGGCTTCAGGGACTGTCACTGCCGTTCGTCACAGCACTGGTGGCCCCTTGTTGCCACCCTTGCCTCTCCACTGGGCTATGGCTATCACCAGAACAAGGTCCAGTCCTGTCACCTGGGGACTTGGACACTTAAAGGTTTGGGAAAGGATGGGCGGTGTGGCCCCTTGCCAGAGGACCCCACCTCCTCAGAGACACAGCCTCAGCACTCTGTCGGCACCAGGAGCACAGGGCCCCTGCACCCCGCATGTTCCCCAGCCAGCTGGGGGTGGCCGCGGTCAGCGTATCCCGTGCTTCTCTGTCCACAGCTGTACGTGTTCTCCGCCGTCAGCAGGATGGGCCTGGAAGCCACGGTAGGTGAGTGCCTGGGCCTCGCCGCTCTCTTCTTCCACATGCGTGTTTGTCCACGCAGCTGAGTGACAAATTCGGCTGTGTGACAAGTGCATGGTGTGGCTGAGCAGCCCACGTCCCTCTGCAGGAAAGGCTGGCACCACACTCCCCGGCCAGGTCTGCCCTCTGAGTTGGGAGTGGGTGCAGAAGCGTGTGGACCCCTGGTCAGGCTGGTGGGGCTCTGGGTACCCAAGGGTAGGAGCCCTCAGAAGCTGAGGTGCCCGGAAGGCAGCTCTCCTATGGGGCCTCAGCAGCCAGGGACCTGCACCTGCCTGAGACCAAGACCCTGTGGAGTGACTGCCAGCGTCAGCCTAGGGCCAGGCAGGCGGGCCTGGCCACCTTCTCTCAGCTGGCCCCCGTGACCCGCCCTGGTGCCCATGCGTGGCCATAGAGGGCTGTGTCACTTCCTGCAGCAGCACTTTGGGGTGTGCTTTTGGCCCTCAGGAGTCCTGTGCTCCCTGTCCTGCAGGAGGGCAGGGGTGGAGGGACATGGGGTGACAGTCCACTGAACCCCCAGGAAATAGTGGCCCATGGGAAGGGTGGACCCCACCTCCTCAGAGACACAGCCTCAGCACTCTGCCAGCCCAGAGTCCAGTTCAGGAGAGCAACCTAGGGGCTCCGGTGCAGGCTGTGCAGGGCGGAGCGTTTGGTGCCACTGAGGGATGCACACAGCAAGGCTGTGCCCTTCTCTCTCTTGGCGTCCTGGCTGCCACTGCCCCTGTGGGCCAGGAGCCCAGTCCCAGGCTGCTGAGTAAGACCCGGGTGTTGGAGGAAATGAGCCCTAGCCTAGAAAATTGTCACTGACGAGGCAAGGGGGCGTTACCTGTGTCTCCTGGTGGCCACCCTGGTGGCCGGATGGCCTCTCCCTGCCCTGCCACACCCCGGGGCCCCCGCAGGCTCTGCTGGGACACTGTCTGCTCTCCCCCAGTCATGCTGCTGCTCAGCGGGGCGCTGGTCAGCGGGCCCTACGCGCTCATCACCACGGCCGTCTCTGCCGACCTGGTGAGTGGCCGGGCACCTCGCCACCATCGCGTGTGACCGGGAGGGAAGCTCGGGGTGGAGCAGAGTTTCCTCCGGGGAACCGTCCGCGTGTGGGATTGTTTTGCAAAGTGAGTTGCACAGGTTGTGTGTGGAGGGCCTGGGTGCCTCTCCCGTTTCTGGTTCTGCTGAGACCTTCCATGTGCGTGTTCTGCTGTCCTGTAGGGCACACATAAGAGCCTGAAAGGAAACTCCCACGCCCTCTCCACGGTGACAGCCATCATCGACGGGACCGGCTCTGTAGGTACGCGGGCGTCGCCCAAAGCTCTGTGCGCAGTGGGGGCGTGCCTGTCCCTTGCTAATGTGGGCCTGGTCGAGCTGGCTTAGAAAACTGGTGGGGTGTCAGGAAGAAGAAGGGGTTGGGCTCCTCCCCACACAAGGCTGCACCGCCAGCGCCCTCCCACCAGGCCAGCTCGAAGGAGCACCAAGCTGGAACCATGCCTTCTGGGCTGTAGAAACACTGCATATGCAGGCCAGCACCCCCAGGGGCCAGGCAGGGGACCTGGCCATCCCAGGAGCCTCGCCTTGGGCCCTGCCTGCACCAGGCACTCACAGCCATGCCCCTAGGGGGAGGGGCTGATGTGCCAGCACTTCTGTCCCTGGGAGGTGGAGCTCTGCCTGCTGGGGACACCCGAGCCAACCAAGAGGCCCCCACGTGATAGGGACCATGTCAGGGGCAGCTCTGGAAGCCCAGTCCAGCCAAAGCCTGGCCCTACCAGCCTTCTGCTGCCCATGTGAGAAGCTTTGCCCTCGGCTGTCCTGCGGCCTCTGTGCCCCTAGGGAGGGACACCCACAGCCCCGTCCACAGATGCAGACCATGGCGTCCTTCCCATACCACTGGCACTCCTCCGCCCTGCTCTTTAGAAATGCCTAGCTGTTGTAGCTCCTCAGGAGGCTGAGGCAGGGGGATCCTGAGTTCAAATCCAACCCAGGTGACGTAGCGAACCTGTCTGAAGAAAATGAGAAGGGCCAGGAAAGCTGAGTGGTCGAGCGCGTGCCTTGCGTTCGCAAAGCTCTGGGTTCCATCCCCAGTCCCAAAAACAGGGAAAAGCAGCCACCCGGCCACCACGTCCCTTGTGCCCGGATCTTGGCTCACACCATCCTCCGTGAGGCCTCCCCACACGCCGAGGGACCACAGTGGCTTCTGGAAGCTTCACCCCACTCCCACCCCTGCCCCTCCCTGCTGTCAGTGCCACCCCCTGCAGAACAGTGCGGTCCAGCCCCTCTGCTCACTCCCCTGCCCCACGTGGGGGCCGTCCCAGGAGTTTGGGAGTTGCTCTCTCTGGCCACGTCCCCTGTGAAGTGAACCAGGGGCTGGTGGAGGCAGCTAGGGTTGCAGACCGTCAGTCTGTCCCTGGGGGTGAGATCCGTGGGTGGAGCCAGGTCCTCACATGCCGGGGCACAGGAACCCAGCTCCAGGCTCTGGCTGCCATTCCCAGGCCTCGGGTGACGGATCCAGCTGGCCCTGAGAAGTGGAGGCAAGGTCACCAACGTTCAGAAGGCCGGGCCCTGGCTCTGATCCCCGCCAGCAGCAGAGCAGCCCAGCTCCGAGCGGGGTGGGGTCCTTCGCCTGGCCCGATCCAGAGGCGGCTTTGGTTCGTTGGGTGGTGTGGTGGTCACACCTCTGATGCTCTCTCGCAGGGACCTCCTCAGCTCGGGACAGGACAGGCCCAGGGAGAGGGACAGGAGGGGCTGACGCCATGCCAGTGGTGGTCCTGGGAGTGAGTGGCCCACCCTCATCACTGTGCACAGCCGCTCCCCGCCCTTAGCTCTGGAGTCAGTCCTACACCCACAGGGACGCTCTTTCTCACACTAAGGTGAAGGTCTGCTGGCAGCCACCAGTGCTGTGGTAAAGCAGAGAGCTGAGGTTTGAAAAAGGGGGCGGGGTTACAAATTAGGTGGAAAACACACTCTCTTGATAGCAGTGGAGGTGGCATCCAAGGGCGGCCAGGTCTGCACGGAGAAGGCCTGCCATGGCGCTCCAGGCTGTAGGGAGAGAAGCGGCCCATGGGCAGGGGGCGGGGGGCGTTGAGCATCTCTGACCCGGACCGTCTGTGACAGCCGGTAGAGGTTGGAGCCGGCCCTGCACGCCCTCCTGCCACTTGGCAGTAAACGGTCGCCATGGAGACAGCACGCAGGCTGCATCACAGTCATTATTTCTTCCCACTCGAGCAGCCCAACAAGACAGAAGCAGACAAAGACCCCCACGGAGACGCCCACCGTTGCCGCATGGCCTCCCCCGCAGGCTCGGGCCCAGTGTGTGTCCACACCCCCGGCCAGCACCGGCTCGGGGAGGCCGCTCTTGGCTGACTGTGGCCCGTCCCGCAGGTCTCAGGTGCCTCTGGAGGGTTTGAGGTCCTCAGCGCTGAGTCCCCATGGGACAGCGCAGGCTTGACATTGCTCTGCTGTGTGTGGAGCCGTGAAGCTTGCCCTGCATTTTTCCAGCTTGATTTTTATTTTATCCAAGTAAAACATGGTCTCAGCTTGGAAGCCAGGTAACCCCACCGGCTTTTACAGCACTGCCCGGCCGCTCGCTCCAGCGGCGCCCTGGGCCGCACCGGTGTTTGGCTCTTTCTTCTTTGCTTTTCCTTTTGTTGCTGGTGCTGGGAACCAAACCCGGGGCCTCCTGCCCACCAGGCAAGCGCTTCACTGCGGAGTTATGCCCGGCTCCATCTTCCTTCACTCCCCAGGACCCCGGCCTCTGTGGAAGGCGGCGGGGCTTGGCTGTCGCACTCCCAGGCTTGTCCTTTTTAGTGACTCTGGCTGTGCCGGTGCCCTCACTCTCCAGCGAGGAAATCGGTGTCAGGCAGACATTTTGGTTTTCCCTCCTGTTTCTAGTTTGGTGTGTTTTTTCTTTCTGGAAAACATTAGTTGGCTGTTGGACGTCCAGGATTAATCCTCCGATTTCATCTCTTTTCCTTTCTACCTGTCTTCGGGTTCTTTCCTTGTTGTTGACTTCATTTTTTTCCCAAGCAGTATCGAACTTTTCATTTTGCCTGCCATGTTTCTCCACCCTGTTGGTGCCTTTCTTAGCTAGCGTGTGCTGCGTGGAATTTTGCGAAACTGCCAGTAACGAAGGAAGCTGGTTTCAGCCACAGCAATGGAAACGCGCTGGGGCTCAGCTTCATCTTTGATCGCGCTCTGAGATGTTACCGTTTCCTGGGGGTCTCTCCCCGTCTTCTCCCAGCTCGCTGGCTATCTCCCCCCTGGGGTTTTCCTCAGATGCGGGTGGGCCTCGGCTGCCCCCTGATGATTCCGCGGAGTCCTTTCCCATGGAAAGCACGTTGACGCTGCTCTCCACAGCGTGGCTCCCCAGCCTACAGCGGCGACCCTGTGCCAGGGGGACACAAGAGCAGTGTCCATTGTCATCTTCCGAAAGTGCGTGCCTTCCCGCGCCTGCTTTCTCTTTGCGAATTTGTGACTTTTGAAGTCGGTGATGGTCCGCTCCTTGGTGTTTGATAAGCACAGGTGTGGGTGAGCCTGCCTACCTGAAAGTATTCTGGGGTGTGAGGGACAGTCGCAGCATTGCTCCTCGGGCTGTGGAGTGGTGACTGCAGTGAGAGCACTCCAGACAAAGTCAGCGTCATGTAGTAGGAGGCCCTGCCGGCCCTGCGGGTGTGGGTCTCCATCGGTAACTGCAGCTGTGAAACCCGCCATGCATCTTACCACGCATCTGCCCCTACCCCCCCGCAAAAAAAAAACCACCCTGCACCTGCGTCGGGATCGCCCCAGTCCCTGTCGCGAAAGCTTTCTGAACAGCTGCAGTGAATGCCCGCGTATCTTTGGGCATTTTGGAGGATACTGCTTTCTTTCATTTTTGTAGATTCAAAAGAATGTTTTGACGTAATTCTAGGCCTGCAGAAGACTTACAAAAATAGTGCGGAGACTCCACAGACATTGTAGAATATTTGCTTTGTGCTGCACCTCTTATACTTACACACAAGCACACTTTGCACACGCATATAAGTACGCACGCGTGCAGTTCCCCTGAGCTACTTACAGTAAGTTGCAGGGTGTTGGCCTCTACTCAGGTTCCTCCGTGTGTTCTCTCTAAAGATGGGTTCTCTCGTGCGGCCACCGCGCGTGGTCAGAATTGGGTGAAAGCTGACATGGACAGAGCATTAGCACTCACAGCTCATTCAGTTACCAAGGAAGAACTTTATAGTGTAAGAATAGCTCCCGAGATCGTGCGTTGGACTCAGGTTTCTTTACATAAATTCAGTAACGGTGATGATAACACTGGGGTGTTGGCTGAAGAGAATGAACATTTCAGAGGTCAGTGGGTTAGGTTTGGTTCCAGGGGGATTTTGTGCCATTTCCCTCGCCATCACTGAGGATGGTTAGCCTTTCACGCAGCCCATCTGCAGGGGGCACGTGGAGGTTTGCCTCCTCTCCACGTGAGCGAGGTGTTGAGCTTGTTCTGTGTTGTTTGACCGCCTCATTGTTTACGAGGTCGTAGGTGAGTCCTCCTCAGACAGCCTGCACTTTCCCTGTCTGTTACAGGAGCAGCGCTGGGTCCCCTGCTGGCTGGGCTCATCTCGCCGTCCGGATGGAGCAACGTGTTCTACATGTTGATGTTTGCGGATGCCTGTGCCTTACTGGTGAGTTGATCCACTGTCGTCCCGAGCGGCTCCACGCAGCATGCTCTGGCTGCTGGTCGGACGCTGGCGAAACTTCTCCCCGGGAGGTGTGGCCTCAGGCTCCATCTCCTGCTGGTGAAGAAATCTCAGTGTCAGGAAACAAGCGGGTGGGTCCACCACCCTGCAGTCTCAGTAGGCTGTAGGAAGGCCACAGCGGGAGCTCCGTTTTGGGGCTTCCTCTGGGATATGACCCAGCAGGTCCCCGAGCCTCCTGTTATCGCAGGTTCTGCGTGTCACAGCAAGTGTGGCAAGGACGCCTGGGGACAGGCCTGTGGGGAGGAGCAATGCAGGTCACACCCAGAGCCTGGCAGGGCTGGCAGGGCCTGCTCCCCACCCGGAACTGTGTGAGTGGCTTTCCATCTACGTGACCCACGCCTGCAATCATTAACTTCTAAAGAGGAAGGCTGATTCGGGCTCGTGGTTTTGGAAGTTTCCACCTGTGATTGGTCAGCCCTGTCGCCTTGGGCCTGTGGCAGGGCACACGGGGCGGTGGGAGTATGCAGGGCAGCAAAACTACTCGCCTTGTGGCTGGGAACCAAGAAAAGTGGGAGAACGGAGCTATGCCCCAAGAGACCAGCAGGGCTCCCACCAGCCCTTTCTGCTGTTGCCCAGAATTGGAATGTGTGTGAACTCGGAAAGGACAGCATGAAAGAGTGGGAAGGTCCAAGTCGGGTACATGGTGGCCAGAGGGAGCAGGCTGGGTGGGTGGAGGAAGTCTTGGGACAAAGTGCATCCGGGTTATGTGTTCCTTGTGGAGGAGGAAGTACCTGCTCCCAGGAGGTGCAGCGGTCTGCTGAGGGTGCGCTGGTATTGGTCCTTTCAAGCCTAAGATTCCCTTCCTCCTGCGGCCCAGCATCCGTGTCAGTGTCCACCCTCTCCAGCAGAGGCTGAGGCCTCAGCCACCCAAGCCACATTCTCGAGGTGCTGGGAGATCAAGGGCCCCCATCCCCTGTCCTTGCCCGGGTGGAGAAGGCAGCTCTGAGCCTGCAGGACTGGCCGGGCCCACAGTGGCCAGCCTGTGGGCGGGGCTAGAGCCGGAGGTTTGTCCTGCAATGTCTGACAGGCCACCAATTCCAGGTTCCACCTCTCTCTGCCCCTGATTGTAGTGATCCTTTCTCTGGGCCAGACCAGAGCATAATCCGCAGGAGACACCCCTGTTCTGAGTGGGACCCAGGCCCCGAGGAGATGACATTTCTGCCCTTGGAGCCCTGGCCGAGCATAGCGTATGCGCAGGGGGCTTAACAGCCCCCGGGACTCTGCGCTGGCTCCCCCACTGCCCCAGGGCACCCCGCACTGTACAGGCCAGGGCAGACCCCAACACAGAGCAGGCGAGGTGCACTTGGTGCCACAGAGAGCTTGTGAGGGGGCGGCCTGGCGGGCAGGGCTGGGCTGGGGTTGCTCCAGGTTCATCTGCCAGCCCCGCACAGAACACATCTGCAGGCAGCTCTTCACCGGCAGCACCGGCGTCCCTCGAGAGGCTCACCTGGCTCCAGAGCCTCCCACTGTCACCGTAACTGTGGGCCTCCTGGTCTTCATTTTCTGTCTTTTGTTCAGTGGGACGTTTATGATTGAACTAGTCTTGTTTTAAATGCTACTGACCCGGAGTAACACAGGGTGAAGCTTATTGTAAAAGCCTTGCTCTCGGTTGTGTGTCCCGGTAACTCTAGGTACCTTGTGGGAGACAGCGGGCCCCCAGCCCGCAGGGTGGGCGCAATGGCATGGCCCACGGTGCACAAGGGTTGAGGAGACTTGTGGCCCGGCTGGGCCTCGTAGCTGTAGGCTTCAGGGTGACCCCGGGCCACACCTGCCGTCTACCCGGCTCCCCGTGGTCACAGATACCCCCATCTTTATCCTGCTTGCAGTTCCTGGTCCGCCTCATCCACAAGGAGCTGAGCTGCCCGGGGCCAGCAGCGGGGAACCAAGCTCCGTAAGTTCCCATGGGCCCTCCCTCGGACTAAGGCCACCCCAGAGTGTCCTGGTTCATCCACCTCTGCACGTGGCCTCTACAAGAAGGAACTCACGGCCTGTCCCTAGCACAGCACATCCCACGCATGGTCCCTTGTGTCCTCCCTGATACGGGTCTCTGTGTGGGCGACTGTGACAGTCTCTCCTAGCCACTGTGGAGAGGTGGCAGGGAAAGTGCCCCATGTGTGGTCTCTACGAGTCATGAGTTCCAGCCAAGTCTCCCGTTCTGGCTGCCCTCACCGCCTCCCTCCCTCCTCAAGGGTCCTTGCTCCTGCTGCAGGACCCGGGACAGGGTCGGGGGGCAGAATGCTGGCCCCGTGCAGGGGCCGTGTGCTCCTGCAGCTGCAGCACCTGCTGTGCGACCTGCTGTCATGCCATCCTTCTCTTTCAGGCTGAAGGAACACTGAGCCCGAGTCCCGGGGAGGAGCTGGGCCCGTCCTTCACAAGCTGTTCCTCGCACGACACTAAGCCAAGGATCCTGTCTTGCCCAGAATGACACAGAGCCGAGCTGGGACCTCTGGGTCCGAGTAAGCAGATGGGCACCCAGGACAGCGGCGGGCATCACAGGGCCACTGCGACTGCATCACTGAGCCCAAGACGGACACAACCGGCCAGCCCCAGCCTGGCAGCCCTATATCCCCTGGTCGCCTGATACGACGTGCGACAGCGTGAAGGTGACCCGTGCCCCTGGGCAGGGTCCCTGTCAGGTGTCCCAGCGTCCAGTGCTGAAGCCACAGCCTGTGCAGCGGGAGCTCCAGCCGTCGGGTCCTTCCCTGAGAGCCTGCACATGCCGGGACACACCAGCTGCACGCAGCGCTGGGAAACGTGGGCCCTGGTCAGAAACCGAGACTGATGCAGGCCTCAGGAGTCACCCGGGGCTTCCTCCTGCTCGTCTCTGCTCGGTGCTGACCTGGAAACTGCAGGCATCCAGCAGGGAACAGCCGTGAAGCAGTGAGCTAGCGACGGCACGGAGGCACCGGGACGCCGAGCTCCTGCCACCCAGCGCCTGCCACGCTGCGCAGCACGAGTCGGGTCCAGGGCGGCCAGGCCTGGGCCGAGGCTGCCTCCGAGACGCGCCAACACCCGGGCTGTTTCTAGATATGTAGCCATGGCGGGTTATTTATTTAAAATGCGTCTTGTGTTACATAAGGTTGAAGACCTGTAAGTGGCATTTTGTTATTTATTAAGACAAGCTGCAATGGTTCTCTGGCCATTTGTTTTTTGGGGGTTGGATCTAGCAAAATACTTACCTGGTATTAGAAAAAAATTCAAGCAAAATACACAGAGAATATCAGTCATTGCTGCTCCTGTGTGGGTGCAGTCTCCCGGGACCGGTCGCTCGGGAGTCTGGGAAGAACAAGGCTCCCACCCGAGAGGCTTTTCCTCAGCGTTCGGCCCAGCCGTGGCCCCAGCAAACCAGGCGTTTGGAGCGTTTATCCTAACCTTTGTCCTTGACTGAAGGGACACACACGAGGGCGGGGCGGGGGTGCTTGGAGTTGTGGGGCGCAGACCCAGCACCCCAAGTTTGCACCGTCTTCTGAGCCGGCGACGGTGTTCTGAATGCGACCCGGCCGCTCTGACTGCAGGGCCCGCGGGGGTGGCCGGCCCATCCTGGCTGTCCTGCGACTCCCCTGCTTTTTCTTTCTTAAGATATTACTAGCACATCTATAGAGTTTCTTCCTGAGAGCAAGGTCACCGTGAATATCGCGTGATTTTAAGTTTCCTCCGAAGTCCTCATGCTGCACAGGGCCTTTGTCCTCCCAGGCGTCCGCTGTGGACCGAGGCTGCCTGCCCTTCTCCCCTGTCCCCGATCCCTCGGGACACACAGCGCCTGTGCTTCCCAGCGTCCAGCTCTGATATTAAGTGGATGGGCCAGGGGATCAGGCGTGGAGAGGCGTGGGTTGGGAATGCACAGGCAACAGTTTGGTGAACCATGTCCTTTGAATGGAGCCCAGGCCGAGGCCTCTTAGAAAGGTCCCAAGCAGCCGGGCATGGTGGCTCACGCCTGTAATCCCAGCACTCGGGAGGCTGAGGCAGGAGGATCCCTGCGAGTTCAAGCCCAGACTGGGCTACAAAGTGAGTTCAAGGTCATCCTGAACTGCAGAGTGAAACCCTGTCTCAAAAAGACAAAAAAATTTAAAAAAAGAAAGGTCCCAAGCAGACACTGCCTGGCCATCTGTGGGGCAGCAGGAAGCCTTGAGGTCGCAGCTGTGTCTCCCCAGCTCCAGGAACCCTGCAGTGGAAGAAAACCCTCACACACAGGGAGAGCAGCTCTGAGTCCCCAGGCCTTCCGGGCTGAACCCTGAGCGTGAGTGCCTTGTGATATGGATGGTTAATGTTTTTTAAAAATCAGGAAATGCAGCTAAATTTAGAAGCAGTCTAGCTGAAATACATTTCATGAGTGGAAGGTTTTACCGTGACTCTTAAGGGGAAAAAAAGGTATGATTTTGCTACAAAAATATATCCTCACCCTCCTGAACAGTGGCTCAGGTGATCCCACCTACAAATAGCTGGTAGGAGGCTCCCGTGGAAACACGCCTGGCCTGGGGTGTATGTCCCTGAGGTGTCCAGTTCAAGGGGGCAAACAGTGCCAGGACCAGCCACCAGAGGAGGAGATGCTCCCGCCTCAGTCTCCTGAGGTGCCTGGCGGGCTTCAGACCTGTGCTTCTCCCTTATACTGTTGGGAGCAGAGCAGCCCCCATTCAACAGCTTGGAAAATCCCCTCGAAATAAATCCTTCCAGAAAGCGAGCTGAAAGACCCACAGCCTGGCTTTCTCACTTCAGCTTTGCAGACAGGCAGCCGACCTGCTGGGCCACTGTGGACGTGTGGAGGGCCTGTCCTGGTCCCCGCTGACCTTACCCCTGCTGCTGCAGGCTATACTGGTGCCCGCTGCAGAGACTGCGCAGCCCCAGAGCCCCAGGTCCCTGCACATGGCCAGAAGGTGAGGAGCAGGTGCAGGCTCGGGCAGGGGCAGCTGTGCGGCCCTGTGGCCTGGGGACTGATGGTGGCACAGTGACTGGAAGGTAGGTAGGGGTGGCTGCCAGTGCTCACATGGTGTCCCCTGAGCATGGTGACCTCTGGGCCCAATTCCAGGTGGTAAAGATAGAGACTGTCGCTCAAAAGGCAAAAAGGAATGTGCAGGTGACATGATAGTCTACATAGAAGACCCAACTGCTAGATTTAATAAATTCAGGAGTGTAGCTGAATACAAAGTCAACACTCAAAAATCAATAGCCTTCCTGTACCCGAATAACAAACTCACAGAGGAATTAGGGAAACACCTTTCACTGTAGCGTCCCAAAAAATGCAGTACCTAGGAGTCAGTCTAACAAAGGATATAAAAGACCTCTACATTGAAAACTACAGTACTCTGAAGAAGGACACTGAAGCAGATATCAGAAAATGGAAAGATATCCCTTGCTCTTGGGTAGGAAGAACCAATATAGGGAAAATGGCCACAGGACCAAAACTGTTACAGAGATTTAATGCAAATTCTGATAAAAAAAAATTCCAATAGCGTATCTCACAGAATTAGAGAAAACAATCCTAAAATTCATTTGGAACCAAAACAGACCTAGAATAGCAAAGGCAAGGCAGGGGGCATCATCATCCCTGGCTTCAAATTATACTATAAAGCTACGATGATAAAAACAGCATGGTACTGACAAAAAAAAAAAAAAAACAACCAGACCTGAACATCAGTGGAACAGATGAGAAGATGCAGAAACAACTCCAGACATTCTCAGCCACCTTATTTTTGACAAAGGTGCCAAACACATTCACTGGAAGAAAGATAACCTCTTTAATAAATGTTAGAAAAACTGGCTCTGCACATGCTAAAGATTAAGATTGGACCCATATGTTTCACCAAGCACTGAACTAAATTCAAAATAGATCAAAGATCTAAATATTAAAACAGAAACACTAAACCTGCTGGAATGTAGAATAGGTAAAAATCTGGAAGACAATGGTATAGGCAAAAACTTTAGGAATAAAACCCCAATCACACAGGAACTATCACAAAGAATCAACAACTGGGCTCTCATCTTATTAAAAAGCTTTTGCACAGTCAGAGAGATCACCAACAGAGTGAAGAGACAACCCACAATGTGGGGAAAAAATGTTCACCAGCTGTTCCTCAGACAAAGGATTACTGTGAAGAACGTATAAAGAACTCAAAAAAAAAGTCAGACTTCCCGAATTTAAAGACCCAATCCAAAAATGGGCATCTGAGATGAATACACACTTCTCCGATGAAAAAATACAAACAGCAAATAAATATGTGAAAAAATGTTCAACATCGTTGGTCATTTGAGAGATGTAAATTAAACAACACTGAGATTTCATCCCACCCTGGAAAGAGTGACTGTCATCAAGAAATCAACCAATAACTAATGCTGGAGGGGCAGTGAGGAAAAAGGAACCCTTCTCCACTGTTTGTGGGAGTGTAGACTGGTGCAATCACTGTGGAAAACTGTGGGGAGATTCCTCAAAAACCTCGGATTGGAGGTCCCATTTGACCAGCAAGTCCCCTTCTGGGTATCTTCCCAGAAGAATTAAAAACATCATACCACAGTGATATATGTGATATATGTGATATAACCCATGTTAATAGCATCACAATTTGTAATAGCTAAACCTTGGAAACAACCGAAATGCCCATCAACTGAGGAATGAATAAAAAAGATGTGGTGTTTTTATGCAATGGAGTACTACTCAGCCATAAAGAAGGATAAACTGGAGGCTTCTCTAGGTAAATGGATGCAACTAAGAGAACATACTCATAAGTGAAATAAACCAGATGCACATATGCATGCATCATATTGTCTCCCTAGTGTGAGAAGCTGAAAGAGTAAATTAGATCCAAAATGTACAAGAGATACTGTAAAATTGGAAGAAATTTCAAAAGGAAAGAGGAACTGGGATGGAAGAAAGGAGAAAAGAAGGAAGCAAAAAAGAAATTTTATATATAAGATAGTTATACTACTAATTTCTCTTAGTTCATTGAAAAGAAAGGTTTGTGCTAGTACTATTTGGACAATTAAATGCCAATATCTTGTACTCTGAGTAATTAGTACAATGATAACAACACACACAATGTACTAACCATTGTTACCCTCCTACTATCTGTTTTGAAATTTTATATTTTTTCTCTTTAAAATAAAAACAGCAAAACAACAGCAAAAAAAAAAAAAAAAAAGGCAAAAAGTAGTCTGTTCAGGCAGCCAAGCACAGGGCACCCTGGAGCGCCTCGCTGCTGGCCACATCTCCCTCCTCCCGCACCTCGGGGGCATCCCTGGAGCCTCGCCCAGGCACCCTGCTCAGTAGTGTCCCTGAGGCCCAGGCCGTCTCCCCTTCTGCACCTTCTGTGCAGCACACCCACCCCCGGTGGCAGTGGAAATGGGTTGAGGCAGAGGCCCTGGGGGCGGGGACAGCGGGATCAGCGTCACCCCACCCTCCTGCACCCTCCTAACCCACCGCTGGGGACGGGCAGGGCACCGTGCAGACTGCAGCAGCGTGCCAGGCATGGTGGTGCACAGCTGTCATCCCAGCATGCTGGGAGGCTGAGGCAGGAGGACTGCAAATTCAAGCATGGCCTAGGTAACTTAGTGATACAGCAAGACTATCTCAAAGGAAGAAGGAAAACCCTCCAAGGCCCAGGGTCCCCTCCCTAGTACCACCAAAAATGAAAGCGCAGCAGCGTTCAGGAAGCACGGAGGCCTGTGGAGCAGAGTCCACACGCCCTCTGGTACAAGCCCAGTGACGGCCAGTCTCACATGGCAAAGGCGGCCTTGCCCTCCGAGAAATGGCTCCATCCAGAAACAAAACAGCCCAGAGCACCTTTCACCACTAAAGTCCCACGTGGAGAAATAGCGCCGCATGTATTCGCCTGCTAGTCCAGTCCCGGCCACCAAACCCTGCCTGTGAAGGGAGCTGTGCTCACCCCGCACATCTGAAAGGAACCCTTTAGGACCACGGGGGGGGTGGGGAGGCGGGGCAGGACCCTCCTGAGCCTCCAGGAAGCCCGCTGCCCCTGCGTGTCCAGCCGGACATCACTGAGCTGGCACTTCGCCTCGTGTTGCCAGGCCACAGTGAAGGTCTGCACGGGCAGCTGAGACGGGGTCAGCTGTGGCTTCCTTCCCCCTGCGGCTTTCTCCTCCTGCATCCCCACGCCCACCTGCTCCTGGCCGCAAAGCCTCAGTCTCCCACGACGTGCAGCACACAGGCTTGGCAGGGAAGGCATCGGCGCTGCCTCTGGGAGCCAGG